TTCAGACTTAGAACTGTTTAAAACGAAAAAGAAAAAAAAAAAAGTCTCTCTTTTATACTCTGAGACAGCTGAGAAAAGCTCTGGGTAAGAACACTTCTTAAGAACTCAAGCAGGCAGACAGATGATGATTTTAGAGCCCATCTCGCCCCATATGTTCCAGCAGCTGCCAGAATTTCCCATTTCCCACAGAGGCACCAGGGATGATCCCAAGGTCCTCAAAAATGACCAAGAGTCTTAAAGATTCACCCCAAAACCCTGGAAAAAATTACAGGTGGGATTTAAATTACTGAGCAGGGAGGATAGGGGGGAGAAAAGCAGGAAAGGAGGTGCTGCAAATGGAAGTGGAGCAGGTTTGAAGGGATGAGGGCAAAGCCACAGGTTGTGTCCCTGCTCCCGGCAGCTGCAGCTCCCTGACAGCAGAGGAGGGAATTCGGGAGAGGGAATTCGTGTCCCGAGGCCACGGGATGGGCACCCACACTGCAGCAGCTCCCAGCTCCACCACGAAGGGTGCAGAACCACGGAGCGAGGGTGTCACACACCACGGCAGGGAGGGACAGGGATGGGGACACATTCTGGCTGCGGATGGGAACGGCCAAGGCTCAACCACCTGCACCCACACTCACGCTCAACAGAGCTGAAACAGCATCAAAACCGCGATGAAACAAGAAATAAAACTGAATAAAACTCCAGAAGCGCGATTTTGCTGAAGGAACACCACAAAGTCCACGAGACGCCGGCCCAACAAACCAGCCCAAAAACCCCACAAATATTTGGCAGGGAGACCCCCGGCAGCCCCGGGGACACACGGAACTCCGGGGATGCGCAGCCCCGGGCGCGGGGGGCCGCGGGAGCCGCCAGGAGCCGCTCTCCGGTGCCTCCCCGGCCCCGGTGCCCGCGGGCGGGCGCGGCCGCCGCCCCCGCCCCGCGCCCGGCCACGCCCACCGCGCGGCCACACCCCCGCGGGGCAGAGGGCGCGGCGGTCGCGCCTGGCCACGCCCCCTTTAAACCACGCCCCTAAACCTTTAACCACGCCCTAAAACAGTTAACCACGCCCTGAAATTGTTAGCCACGCCTCGATGTCCTTAGCCACGCCCATCGTTGTCCAGGCCACGCCCACCTGGGAAAGGGGCGAGGGAAAAAGGGGAAAGGGGAGAAGGAAAAGGGGAATTTTTGCCCCAAAATGCTGCAGGTGGTTTTTTCATCCATCTTTGGATGGGGCCATCTTTGCCTCAATGCCACGCCCACGCGCCTGCCAGTTCGCGGTCGTTAAAGTCTTCGTGTGAATCTGGAATTAATTAATGTTTAGGGGTTGGGATGCACCTCAAGATTAATTTATGCTCAACGCCCTGGGCAGCATCTTCCACCAGACCAGACTGTGAAAAATGCGGATTTTATGATTGGCTTTTGACAAATATTCAAATGAATGTTATATGTGTTATGTTAGGAAGTTATGCCGTATTAATTTTCTTAAGTAGTGTGTTAAATATAGTTTTAGGTTATAACATAATGTTAAAATAGAAACTTTGCTATGTAGGATACTTTTTTTCTAAAGAAAGGACTCGCACTGAGACAGCAGCCACAGGACACCTAAATCTTTCAGAAAAAGAGAATTTATTGCTCCATTATCAGAAGAAATTAACTTCTACCTGCCTAGTTCATTAGGATTAAGGGAACAAGTTGACGCTGACCAGATACAATCCTGTGTTTGAATGGAATTTATGCATCCTGTATGAGATGTATGAATATGCAACAGGCTGTTGTTTTTAAGGGTTACTCCTCTGTTAATGTGTCTCCTTTTCCAGGCTTATTTTGCCCAGAAAGAGGTACCTGGACTGTCCCTAACTCTTTGGTCTTATTGCCTCGTATTGTCCTAATCCAAATTGTCCACATTTTTATTACTTTAATTATATTACTATTTTAATAACCATTTTATTACCATTAAACTTTTAAATTTTAAAACCAAATGATTGTTGTTTTTCACAAAATCACTCAAGGGCTGGTCCAGCCCAGCCTTGGGACCCAGGGCAGCCTCTGCCAGCGCCTCCTCACCCTCACAGGGAGGAATTTCCTCCTAATAATTCACCTAAATTTTCCCTCTGTCACTTCGTACCCATTGCCCCTTTCCTGTCATTCCAGCTCCTGATGGAAATTCCTCTCCGTGCCCCTGGAGCCCCTTTAGACCCTGCTGTTCCCCAGGCTGGATATTCCCAGCTTTCCTAGCCCTTTTCTCTATATTTTTGTCCCCACTAGACTTCCTCCAACAATTCCACACCCTTCATATTTTGGGAATGATGCTCACAATATCTGATGGGATTTACTACAGCCATTTGTACCTGCTGTTAAATTGTGTTTTATTTAGCTAAATAGTGTTTTATTTGCTGCCAAAAATAGGAAAAATTAATTTTAAAATTCATTTTATATACAATATGTATATACATGAAACCCACATGAGCAAAATTCCCTGGGACTAAAACACCCACAGCAAAAAAAAAAAAAAAAAAATGAAAACTTTTTAGGAAAAAAAGTTTTAGCACAGGCTGGGGGTGACTGAGGGGTGCCACCAAGCTGTCCCTGAGGCAGGGCACAGAGAAGGGCACTGCCAGCAGGACAGGGCTGCCAGCAGGGCTGCCCCAGCTCTGGCACCCCCAGCACAGCAGGCACAGGCAGCTCCTGCAGGGCACAGAGCTGCTGCAGGGCCTGGGGGGGCTGAGGGGGGCCAGCCCTGGGGACCCGGGGGGCTCTGGGGGTCCCTGGCTGCTCCTGGCTGTCCCTGAGTGTCCCCAAGTGTCTCCGAGTGCTCCTGGGTGTCCCTGAATGTCTCTGGATGTCCCAGTGTGTCCCCATGTCTGTCCCAGTGTGTCCCTGTGTCTGTCCCTGTGTGTCCCAGTCAGTCCCAGTGTCCCTCAGTCCGTCCCTGTCTGTCCCCAGTGTGTCCCCAGTGTATCCCAGTGTCCATCCCAGTCTGTCCCAGTGTCCCCCAGTCTGTCCCAGTATCCCCCAGTCAGTCCCAGTGTGTCCCAGTGTCCCCCAGTCTGTCCCAGTATCCCCCAGTCAGTCCCAGTCTGTCCTAGTGTCTCTCCCAGTGTCCCCCAGTCTGTCCCAGTATCCCCCAGTCAGTCCCAGTCTGTCCTAGTGTCTCTCCCAGTGTCCCCCAGTCTGTCCCAGTGTCTATCCCAGTCTGTCCCAGTGTCCCTCAGTCGGTCCCACTGTGTCCCAGTCTGTCCCTGTCTGTCCCCAGTGTGTTCCAGTGTTTGTCCTAGTGCATCCCAGTGTGTCCCAGTGTCCCCCACTCTGTCCCAGTATCCCCCAGTCAGTCCCAGTCTGTCCCAGTGTCCCCAGTGTGTCCCAGTGTGTGTCCCAGTGTGTCCCAGTGTCCCCCAGTCTGTCCCTGTGTCTGTCCCTGTGTGTCCCAGTGTCCCCCAGTGTCCCCCAGTCTGTCCCAGTGTGTCCCAGCTCTGCCCCAGAGCCCCGGGCAGGGCCTGAGCCCAGTGTCTGCCCCTGCCCAGGAGGCAGAGCTGCTGCCCTGGGCAGTGCCAGCCCTGAGCAGAGCCCAGAGAGGCTGGGGAGCCTCTGCCCGGGCACCCAGCCCCGCCTGGCAGTGCCCTGTGCCCTGGGCAGGGTGCCCCCAGCTGTGCCCCACAGCGCTCCCTCCCATCCCTCCGCTCTGATTTCACCCGCCCCTATCTGGAAACCCGCGCTGCGCCCTCCGAGCGCCGCGCGGGGAGGGCCGAAATCAATTAAACAAATTAACAGCGCTGCCTCAGACACACCGGCACGGCGAGGCCACGCCCCCGCGCTCACGCCCTGCGTAACCACGCCCCTTTTGTCCCTCAGCGCCTCCCGTAGCGGCGCCGTCATCGCGGCGGGACCGCAGTCTGCGGTGAGTGCGGGCACCGGGGGACACCGGGGGGACACCGGGGGGACACCGGGAGCGCTCCGAGGGCTCCTCGGGCACCCCCGGCCCCCTCGGGAGGCACGGCCCCGCCCTCCCGCAGCCCCGGCGGTGCTCCGGCCCCCGGTGTGACCGGGAACGGGCAGCGGGCAGCACGTGGGGGGCACCGGGGGCACCGGGCCGCGCTCGGCCGGGTTCCGTCTCCGTTCCGGGACCGGAGCGGCGCTGGTCGCTCAGGGGTGCTGTCAGAACGCTCAAAATTAACCCCCGCTTTAAAAAATTAAAAAAATTTAATTCAACAGCATTTAAAAAAAAATTAAAATTTAATTTAAAAATTAAAAAAAATTATCAAATTTTTAAAAAATCAGCAAGAAGCTTAAAAATATGAACATAATTCAACAGGAAATTTAAAATATGAACATAATTCAACAGGAAGTTTTAGAATATTGACATAATTCAACAGGAAAATTAAAATACGAACATAATTCAACAGGAACTTTTAAGATATTGGCATAATTCAAAAGGAAAATTAAAATACGAACATAATTCGACAGGAAATTTAAAATATGAACATAATTCAGCAGGAAGTTTTAAAGTATGAACATAGTTCAACAGGAATTTTAAAATACGAACATAATTCAACAGGAAGTTTTAAAATATTGACATAATTCAACAGGAAAATTAAAATATTGACATAATTCAACAGGAAGTTTTAAAATACTGACATAATTCAACAGGAAAATTAAAATATGAACATAATTCAACAGGAAAATTAAAATATTGACACAATTCAACAGGAAAATTAAAATACGAACATAATTCAGCAGAAGTTTGAGGATATTGGCAGAATCCAGCCCCTGTGGCTCTCGTTTCCTGCTGAGGCTGTACAGCAGATTTCCGTCCCTGCTGTGGGAGCAGGGGATCTGCAGGATTTCCCCCTGCTGAGCAGCACCCAAGGGTGTGAAATACCCCAAAATCCTCTTTACTGGAGCAGCAGCAGTCGGGGCTGTTCTTGCTGTTTGATTTAGAAGGAACAAAAACCTGAATTTAGATTTTTTTTTTGCCCTGTGGGGCTGTTTTGCTGCTCCCTGCAGCAACAGCTGGAATTGCTGTTCTGTGCAGGGACCAGCAGCAGCTCCTCCCGAGCACTTCAGGTAATTAATTCTCCCTTTGGGTAATTAATTCTCCCTTTGGGTGCAAATTCCTGCACCCAAGAGCTCCCAAAGCTTCCTCTGTGGGCAATGTCAGCATTTTCTCCTTTTTGTGAAAAAGCCCCTGATAAAGGGGATTTTTAAAAAAAACTAAAATTTTATTTTCCATTAAACTATTCCATTAAAATTTTAATTTTTTTTAATTTTATTTTTTAAATGTAAAAATAGCTCCCTGCAGCAACAGCTGGAATTGCTGTTCTGTGCAGGGACCAGCAGCAGCTCCTCCCGAGCACTTCAGGTAATTAATTCTCCCTTTGGGTAATTAATTCTCCCTTTGGGTGCAAATTCCTGCACCCAAGAGCTCCCAAAGCTTCCTCTGTGGGCAATGTCAGCATTTTCTCCTTGGGAGGTTCTGTGAAAAAGCCCCTGATAAAGGGGATTTTTAAAAAAAACTAAAATTTTATTTTCCGTTAAACTATTCCATTAAAATTTTAATTTTTTTAATTTTATTTTTTAAATGTAAAAATATTTGTAATTTGTATTTTAATGGCAGGGGCTTTATATTATTATTGCCATTATTATTATTGTTATTATTATTATTATTATTGCATGGGCTTAATATTATTATTATGGCATGGGCTTAATATTATGATTGCTATTATTATTATTATGATGATCATGGCATGGGCTTTATATTGTTATTATTATTGCTATTATTATTTTAATGGCATAGGCTTTTTCTTTTTTTCCTTTTTTATTTTAATGGCATGGGCTTTATATTGTTATTGTTGTTATTATTATTATTTTAATGGCGTGGACTTTTTATTTTTTAAAAATTTTTAATTTTAATGGCATGGGCTTTATATTATTGTTATTTTATTGGCATGGACTTTTTATTTTTAAAAATTTTATAAATTTTAATGGCATGGGCTTATTATTATTATTGTTATTATTGTTATTTTATTAATAGTTTTTCCTAAGGAAGTGGTGCTGATCACCTGCCTGTGTTACTGCAGAGCATCTGGCACTTGCTCTGAATTATTTGTGTGCTTTGTCATGACTCAAACAGTTCCCTCTCAGCATAAAATAATCAGGTACAACAAAAATAAATAAAATATCCACTTTTGTTCCTGCAGGAAAATGCTGAGAAGCCTGAAAGGACTCGTGTGCCATTCTGGGAAGGTAGGTCCTGTGTGCAGTTTCCAATATTTCAGCTTTCCTGGGGCCTGGAATGACAATTTTCAGCTATAAAAAATGAGTAAATTCCCACTGGGCTGAGGGAAGAGCAGGTCCAGCATTGGCACGTTTCCCTGAGGAGCCTGGCTCTGAAACCCTGCCCTTCCATTCAGGTGTGTCCCAGGAAAAAGGGATTATTCCCTTGCTCTGCAGGGCTGGCATGCCCAGAGGAACAACCCACCAGCCTCGCACAAAAGCTGCTGGGAGGAGTTTTACCAAAAATCACAGGATTCTGGGGTATTCCCACCCTGGACACGCCAGCAATGCCCTGTGCTGGGAGCTCCAGGTGCCCCTCGGGCACCCTCTGGGGCCAGAACCCTTTCTTTTATTCCCTTTTCTGCCCCCAAAAGTGGCTCTGTGCCTCGGGTGGGTGTGGTGCTGCTCTCTGCTCACAGCAGCCCTGGGCTGTCCAAGAGCCTCCCTCGACCCTGAGCAGCAGCAGGAGCTCCTGGAGGGGCTTCCTGATGGAAAAGAGCTCCAGCTCTGTGTTTGCTCTGCATGTTCCCTTCCTGCACTGCTGTGGCTGCACTGCTGCCTTTTGCAGCTCTGCCTTTTTGCAGCTCTGCCTGTGCCGTGCTTCCCTCCCTGGGCAGGCTGGTTCCTGAGCCTGGCATCCCTGGGAAATGCAGGAACAGCCCAGGGTTCCTGAGCCTGGCATCCCTGGGAAATGCAGGAACAGCCCAGGATTCCCTGAGCCTGGCATCCCTGGGAAATGCAGGAACAGCCTGGGGTTCCTGAGCCTGGCATCCCTGGGAAATGCAGGAACAGTCCACGATTCTCTGAGCCTGGCATCCCTGGGAAATGCAGGAACAGCCCAGGATTCCCTGAGCCTGGCATCCCTGGGAAATGCAGGAACAGCCCAGGATTCCCTGAGCCTGGCATCCCTGGGATATGTGGGAGCAGCCTGGGATTCCTCAGCCCTGGATCCCTGGGACATCGGGAGCAGCCCAGCATTCCCAGAGATCCCTGGAAGGTGCGGGAACAGCCTGAGATCTCTGAAACCAGCCAGAGGGGACCAGCCCAGCATTCCCTCAGCCCGGGATCCCTGGGACACTGGGAACAGCCTGGGATTCCCAGAGCCTGGGGTCCCTGGGACATCGGGAAGAGCCCGGGATCCCTGGGAGATGTGGGAACAGCCTGGCATTCCTGAGCCCGGATCTGTGGAACAAGCAGGACCATGCCAGCATTCCTGAGCCTGGCATCCCTGGATCATGCGGGAGCAGCCTGGCATTCCCAGAGCCTGGGATCCGTGGGGCATCAGGAACAGCCCGGGATTCCCAGAGATCCCGGGAGGATATGGGAGCAGCCCGGGATCCCTGGATCATGTGGGACCAGCCCGGGGTCCATGGAACATGAGGGAAGAGCCTGGGATCCCTGGGACATCGGGAACAGCCCGGGATTCCTGAGCCTGGGATCCTTGGGATATGTGGGAGCAGCCTGGCATCCCTGGGAAATGCAGGAACAGCCCAGGATTCCCTGAGCCTGGGATCCCTGGGACATCGGGAACAGCCCGGGATTCCTGAGCCTGGCATCCCTGGGATATGTGGGAGCAGCCTGGGATCCCTGGGAAATGCAGGAACAGCCCAGGATTCCCTGAGCCTGGGATCCAGGAGACATCAGGAGCAGCCCAGCATTCCTGAGCCTGGGATCCCTGGGAAATGCAGGAACAGCCCAGGATCCATCAGACATCGGGAGCAGCCCAGCATTCCTGAGCCTGGGATCCCTTGGATATGTGGGAACAGCCCGTGGTTTCCGAGCCTGGCATCCCTGGGACATCGGGAAGAGCCCAGGATCTGTGGAGCATGAGGGAAGAGCCCGGGATCCGTGGGACAAGCAGGAACAGCTCGGCATTCCCAGAGCCTGGGATCCCTGCATCATGCGGGGCCAGCCCGGCGTTTCCTGAGCCCGGCTCCGTGGGACATGGGGAACAGCCCGGGATCTGTTGAACAGGGGTGAACAGCCCGGCATTCCCGAGCTGGGGATCCCTTGGATATGCGGGACCAGCCCGGCATCCCTGGGACATGCGGGAGCAGCCTGGAATCCCTGGATAATGCGGGAACATCCTGGCATTCCCAGAGCCCGGGATCCCCGGAGATGCAGGAACAGCTCGGGATGCCCGGGAGATCCCGGAGATGCGGGAGCAGCCCGGGATCCTCGGGATCCCCGGAGATGCGGGAACAGCCCCGGAGATGCGGGAGCAGCCCGGGATCCCCGGAGATGCGGGAACAGCTCCACCTCACGGCTCGGCGCTCCCGGTTCATCCCGGGCACCACGTGATGGTTCGCTGCCATTTCAGGGATGCGGAGAGGCGGCTGCTGTCCTCTGGCAGATGGAAACTCGGCCCGAAATCCCCTCCCCGCTCCCGGGAGAGGCTGCGGCATGGGGCGGCGCTGGGGGCGGCTGTGCAGAGCTGCACGGGGAGCTCCGACTGTTCCTGGCATTCCAGAGCCCAGGGATGGATGCTGAGCTCCTGCTCAGGAGGAGGGACCCAGCACCTCGGTGCTCTGAACTCAGGATAAAATAGAAATGTGTAAACTCGGGACCCAGCACCTTGGTGCTCTGAACTCAGGATAAAATAGAAATGTGTAAACTCGGGACCCAGCACCTCGGTGCTCTGAACTCAGGATAAAGTGGAAATACATAAACTCAGGATGTAAAGTGCTTCAGCAGGGATGTCCTGAGCCATCTGTAGGCAGTTTGAAATGTGGGTTCTGTAAATGGAGGCAGTCTGGAACTCGGCACAGCTGTGAGCAGGACTGCACTCGCTGCCTGTGCTGACTTTGCAGCACCTCAGGAGTAATTCCCTCTCTCCAGGTGCTTGGCAGTTGCTCCCACACCCACAGCCCGCAGTGGCAACGTTCCAAAGTGTCCAAAATTTGAAGTTTAAATCCTAATTAATTACTAATTACACTGTAAGTGCTTTTTAGCTTATCAACTTTCACTACACTGTGTTGTAAATACCTTTAAACTAATCATCTAAAATTACCCCTTGTGAGTCTCAATACAATGCACCTTTCATAGTTCTATTTCTCCAAAGTATTTAGTCTTATTTGCAAAGCCATCTTTTGAAACTTATTTCTGGTTTAGTTTCTCTCTCAACAGTGTCTCTCCTATCCCATAACTTTTCTAAATCAACATTTCTCATCTCAAAGTTTACATACAAATGCAGGCTATGTGAACCTCCTGTCCAGTTTTAAGAATTTTCTATAAATCCATTTTCCACACAAAGCACCACGAGGTTCCAGGGGGTTTTGAGAGAGAGCTGTGGTGCTAAGGCTGCAGGTGATGCTAAAATAATGTCATTGCAGGGGACAGGTGAGGTCATTTACATGTGGGATGTGCAGTGTTGATGGAAAAAAATAGAAATTTAATGTTTGGCTGCAAGACCAGAGGATTGGACTTGTGTTCTGACTTCTACTCTCTTCAGAAAACTCACAAGGAGGTGGCTTGTGTGCCATGGAGATTCCACGTGCTGCTGAGCTCAGTTTGGGCTGTTTAAAACATGAGATTGATGCTTCATCAAACCAGTATTAGCATTCAGCTCAAGGCTGTGCATGCACAGCCCCAAAATCTGAACCCAGAGCAAGAAGTTCAGCCTTGCTTCATTTTCCATCAGGGCTGAGGATTTGTGTGATACCCCTGGGAGAGGATGGGCAGGGAGCTTCCCTGGCAGCTGAGCAGAGCCCTCAAACATTCACCCTGGGGGTTGGGGGCTTGAGGAGGGGAAAATCCCAGAAGTTCAGAATGGATGGGTTGGGAGGGACCTCACACCACACCCAGTCCCACCCCCTTTCCTTAGTCCAGGGTGCTCCAAACCCCATCCAGGCTGGCCTTGGATGCTTGCAGGGGCAGCCACAGCTCCTCTGACCCCCTGTTCAAGGGAGATGAGAGGGATTCTGATCCCAGGCTGACATTTTCTAGGTGATCAGGTGACAAGGGTTGCCTCCTGGATTTATTCATGTATTAAATTGCCATCTTTGTGCCTTGCTCAAGGCTGTCAATTCTCACCTCCGTGGATTTTAAACTGAAATAAGCCATCCTAAAGGATCATCTGGATCTGAGGAGGAAAAGGGCACCGTGGGAACAAGATGTGTTGGGTGATCTCCCTGTTTGCACTGCAGCTTTGTTCCACAGGGTCCAGGCTGGTCTCATTCCTTCCCTACCAGGAGGGCAAGTGTCCAGATGCTGATTCAGGCATCTGGAATGTGCCTCATCCCTCTTTCCCCGAGCCCTTGTGTCCCCTGAGGAGCAGCGGGGTGGCAGCAGAGCTGTGCCAGCTGTCCCTGGCTCTGAGCTTTGCATTCTGCTGCTCTCACCCAGACAGACAAAATTGGAAACTGCTGCCTGTGTTCAGCTGCAAGCAGCCCCGTCAGTGCTGCAAGGGGCTCTCAGCTCTCCCAGAGCCTGTCTGGAGGATGCACTTTCTAAATCGTTGACAAATGTTTGTGTTTTCTTTCACCACAGCATAATAAAATGCTTGTCCTGCCACTGCTCACTTCCCTGCCTGTTTTGGCTGGGCTTTGCAGGCAGTCTGTCTGGGGGAAAAATGAATTAATCAGCTTAGCTGGCTGGTTTGGTTCCTCAGCCACTGTATCGTAATGCCAGAGTCTGGATGCAGGGAAATCAGTGTGGGGGGTGTAATTATAAATATCAAATAGTGGGCAGAGCTGCACTAATCCATGGTAATTGAGGTGATCAGGGATTGCCAGACAGCCTGAATTTTCAGGGTGCTGCCACTCACAGTGGGCACTTCCCAGCACTGAGGCTTTAATGGCTGGGTTGGGATCTTGAGAAATGTTGTGCAAATTGGGTAAAACTCAATGTTGTGTTTTGTGTAAAATACCTTAAGAAATTTTGTGCAAATGGGTAAAACTCAGTGAGGTGGAACTGGCTTGGGTGGGAATGGTTTCAGTGCAGGTATCTAAAGGTGAGATCTGGTTCTGCAGCACGTGGGTTTTCCATGCTGAATTTCCATGCTAATGATGAGTTTTCACTCTAATTGCCATCAGAGTTCAGCTCTGGGTTGCACGTGCCTCCTTGGGATCACAGAACAGACTCCCTGGGCTGGTTTTCAGCAGCAAGCCTTGGCTGCTGACAGCTTTGTTGTCTCTTTGCCTTTGTGAAAAACACCAATCACTTGTTGTTAAAATTTTAAAAGTTTAATAGTAATAAAATGGTTATAAAAATAGCAATATAATTAGAGTAATAAATATTTGGGCAATTGGAATGTAGGACAATACGAGACAATAAAGACAAAGAGTTAGGGACAGTCCAGGCATCTTTTCCTGGGCAAAATAAGCCTGAAAAAGGACACAGTTAACAGAGGATTAACCCTTAAAAACCCTGTTGCATATTCATACAGCTCATACATGATGCATAAATTCCATTCAAACACAGGATTCTGTCTGGTCAGTGTCAACTTCTTCCTCTGAATCCTGACCTGAGGCAGGAAGAAGTTAATTTCTTCTAATAACGGAGCAATAAATTCTTTTTCTCAGAAAGATTTAGTGTCCCATGGCTGCTATCTTGGTGCGAGTCCTCTTTTTTAAAAAAAGTATCCTACATAGCAGAGTTTCTATTTTAACATTATGTTATAACCTAAAACTATATTTAACATGCCACTTAAAACAATTAATACAGTATAACTTTTTAACATAAACCCATATAGTATTCATTTTAATATTTTCCCCACTTTGTCTTCCCCTCAGCTGGGCCATGGCTGTGCCCTGCCCAGGGCTGCCCTGAGCTCTGTGTCCAGCCAGGATGTCCCAGCAGAAAAACCCCGAGCGATTTTCCACACCAGCGAGAGCGACCCGGTGAGTGAGTGCCAGCACTGCCCTGCTCACAGCCACCCTGGTGCCACCAGGGCCAGGCTGGCAGCCAGCAGTGCTGCTGGCACTGTGGGAGCACCTAAACCAGGGATCAGTCCTGCTGTGCCCAGGATGGAGCCTGGGAGCTCCTGGGAGCGGGTATTGATCCCTTCAGAGCTGCGCAGGTGGGATTGCAGGAGCTGGGCTTAGCTTGGACACCATCAATTCCAGCTCCAGGGTTGGAAGTGAATTCATCACCATCAATTCATCACCATCAATTCATCACCATCAATTCCAGCTCCAGGGTTGGAAGTGAATTCATCACCATGAATTCTTCACCATCAATTTCATCTCCAGGGTTGAAATTTAATTAATCACCATGAATTCATCACCATCAATTCATCACCATGAATTCTTCACCATCAATTCCAGCTCCAGGGCTGAAAGTGAATTCATCACCATGAATTCATCACCATCAAGTCCAGCTCCAGGGTTGTTCTTCCCTGGAAAGGGCTCCCTGGGCTGGCTGTGCAGGGGATAAAAGCCACACCCCAGCTGACCTCAGCGCAGCTCTGCAGCATCACAATTCCAGCCTCACGCCCTGTGTCTCGCAGAGCACAGAATGAAGGGCAGTAAATGAATGGAAGGAGCCTTGGAGGTGCTTTTTGCTGCTGTGTAATTGGAGCCTCTCCTCTCGGTGCTGATTCCTCCGGGGTCTCTATGGAAACCAGGAGATGATCTGCTGCACGTGACCCCGAGCCTCCCCAGACTCCAGATGGCCACCATTGTCCCCACGGTCCTGTGCCTGCCTTGGTTTTGGTTGCCAGGCAACTGGCTCTGCCATTCTGACTTCTTTGGCACGGCCTTGGCCAGCTCAGGCTGGCTGGGTCACCCCAGCTCCTGCACCAGACAGTCCCATTGAAATGGGACTGAAAAAGCCACTAAACACCAAATTTTTCATCAGAGTTTGTGTACCCTGCCATTAGCAAAGCTCCAAGTGGCTGAAGGTGAGGATAAATTACCCACATTGTGTAGGAGAGTGAAGGAATTCGTGCAGCAAGTCAGGGATGAAGCTGAGAATGAAAATGGGCTCTGGAGTCCCCAGGGAAGCCACAGTTTGAAATAAGCTTGGTAAAAGAGGTGTCACTTCACACTTGTCCCCAGCTGACACCTCCTTACAGCAGGGCACCTCCTGAACAGCCAGGATTTAACATTTCCCCCCTTTGCAAAGATTTCCTGACCACTGAACCCCCCCAGTTTGGCAGCTCCAGCAGCTCAGCCCTTTGCTGAAGTTACCAAATTTTCTAAAGAAATCATTCCCTGAATCCTCCAAATCCTGCAGCTGTGCCAAGGGGAAGCACAGGGTCCTGTGTGTGTCCTGGGGAGGTGTGGAACACGGGGTGGTTGCTGAGTAAAAAGGGCAAAAAATGAGAGCAGAGATGTATTTTGTGCTGAAAGGCTGCAAATCTGTCCTGAGGAAGGGAAGGGAGACTTCACAAGAATCCTGGGGCCAGAAAATTCATGGATGTGCAACAGAGCTTCCAGCAGTGCTCCATGAAGAGTCCATCAAGAGCTGGGAAAAGCCGAATATTCCTGGCCAAAGAGGCAGAGTCACACCTGCACACAAAAATGCTGGCACATAAAATAAAGAAAACAAGGAAATTGTTGGATTTGCTGTTGTGAATGCCAATTTTTATATATAACAGGAATAAAGAGGAGGATGGTTTTACTTTAAATCCATAGAAAAAAAAATGCAGAAAGCAGAGCAGGACAAGATCCAAGCTTCAAAGATTAACACCAAACTGCTAAAAGTCACACAGGAAGGGCTGCAGAGTTTAGTGTCCTAATTAGACAAGACACAAAAAAGGATGACTTGAGCAAGAGGAAAGAAGCAAGTGCTTTGCAGGTATTGCATGGCAGGAAAAGAAAATAATGAAGGGAACAAACAGGCATTAAATTCTCAGCTCCCAGTGACAGCAGCTCCTTGCTGTCATTATGCTGAGACCTGCAGGGTGAACACTAGAAATAAATGCAGCAGGATGCAAGTGCAGTGGAGGAATAGCCCTGACCACTGAGGGCACCACAAGGGACTGGGAATTGTTGCCCTAGAAAAGAAATTATGAGATTTTTAAGCCTCAGTAACCAAATGGCACCGTGGGAATCACTGCTGGGAGCAGAAATCATCATTTTGTCACAGAAGAAAGGGAGTGTGACTCCAGCAGGTGACTCAGAAGGGTGCCACAGCTCTGTTGAGGTTTGAAAGGTGAGGGGAATCCATGGTGCCCCCAAAACACCACAGGGAATCCCTTCATTGTTCAGTGCCAGCTGGGATCTCCTTTCTTTAGCCTCTTCCCCAGCACCTGCCAGCAGTGTCCTGACCCCACAACTCCTGCTTTATTCCTTTTTTTTTAATTTCCTCCTCTTGCTCTGCCCCCCAGTAAGAGAATGGTGACTGAGCCTCCCTGTCCCACCCTCCCAGGCCACCTGTGCCCAGGACACAGCATCACCAGGGTGCCAATTGCCATTTTCTCTTGCAGGCCAAGCACACGGAGCAGCACGAGGGTCGCCTGTACAGCATCCCCCTGGAGGAGGTGAAGGCTGTGTTCCCCCATGGGCTGCCCCATCGTTTCCAGCAGCAGGTATTCCTTGCAGAATTCCTTTCAGATACTCCAGCTTGGGGGGAATGCACTCAGAGCAGCTGGGGCTGCATCCCTGCAAGTGTCCAAGGCCAGGCTGGAGGGGGTTTGGAACAGCCTGGGACAGTGGGAGGTGTCCCTGCCCGTGGATGTGATGATGTTAAAGGTCCCATCCAGCCCAAACCATTCCATGATTCTGTGTGGGAAGAACCAGATCCATTGGTGATGTTCTGATGGGATGAGAGAGAGCAGGAGTGCAGTTATTCCTGGTCCTTCCTGGTGTTTTCAGCATGACTTGAGCAAGAGGAAAGAAGCAAGTGCTTTGCAGGTATTAAGCACAGGGTCCTGTGTGTGTCCTGGGGAGGTGTGGAACACGGGGTAGTTGCTGAGTAAAAAGGGCAAAAAATGAGAGCAGAGATGTATTTTGTGCTGAAAGGCTGCAAATCTGTCCTGAGGAAGGGAAGGGAGACTTCACAAGAATCCTGGGGCCAGAAAATTCATGGATGTGCAACAGAGCTTCCAGCAGTGCTCCATGAAGAGTCCATCAAGAGCTGGGAAAAGCCGAATATTCCTGGCCAAAGAGGCAGAGTCACACCTGCACACAAAAATGCTGGCACATAAAATAAAGAAAACAAGGAAATTGTTGGATTTGCTGTTGTGAATGACAGTTTTTATATATAACAGGAATAAAGAGGAGGATGGTTTTACTTTAAATCCATAGAAAAAAAAATGCAGAAAGCAGAGCAGGACAAGATCCAAGCTTCAAAGATTAACACCAAACTGCTAAAAGTCACACAGGAAGGGCTGCAGAGTTTAGTGTCCTAATTAGACAAGACACAAAAAAGGATGACTTGAGCAAGAGGAAAGAAGCAAGTGCTTTGCAGGTATTGCATGGCAGGAAAAGAAAATAATGAAGGGAACAAACAGGCATTAAATTCTCAGCTCCCAGTGACAGCAGCTCCTTGCTGTCATTATGCTGAGACCTGCAGGGTGAACACTGGAAATAAATGCAGCAGGATGCAAGTGCAGTGGAGGAATAGCCCTAAAAGAGATGAGTCAAACAAGGGACTGGGAATTGTTGCCCTAGAAAAGAAATTATGAGATTTTTAAGCCTCAGTAACCAAATGGCACCGTGGGAATCACTGCTGGGAGCAGAAATCATCATTTTGTCACAGAAGAAAGGGAGTGTGACTCCAGCAGGTGACTCAGAAGGGTGCCACAGCTCTGTTGAGGTTTGAAAGGTGAGGGGAATCCATGGTGCCCCCAAAACACCACAGGGAATCCCTTCATTGTTCAGTGCCAGCTGGGATCTCCTTTCTTTAGCCTCTTCCCCAGCACCTGCCAGCAGTGTCCTGACCCCACAACTCCTGCTTTATTCCTTTTTTTTTAATTTCCTCCTCTTGCTCTGCCCCCCAGTAAGAGAATGGTGACTGAGCCTCCCTGTCCCACCCTCCCAGGCCACCTGTGCCCAGGACACAGCATCACCAGGGTGCCAATTGCCATTTTCTCTTGCAGGCCAAGCACACGGAGCAGCACGAGGGTCGCCTGTACAGCATCCCCCTGGAGGAGGTGAAGGCTGTGTTCCCCCATGGGCTGCCCCATCGTTTCCAGCAGCAGGTATTCCTTGCAGAATTCCTTTCAGATACTCCAGCTTGGGGGGAATGCACTCAGAGCAGCTGGGGCTGCATCCCTGCAAGTGTCCAAGGCCAGGCTGGAGGGGGTTTGGAACAGCCTGGGACAGTGGGAGGTGTCCCTGCCCGTGGATGTGATGATGTTAAAGGTCCCATCCAGCCCAAACCATTCCATGATTCTGTGTGGGAAGAACCAGATCCATTGGTGATGTTCTGATGGGATGAGAGAGAGCAGGAGTGCAGTTATTCCTGGTCCTTCCTGGTGTTTTCAACATCTAAAAGAGATGAGTCAGCCACCCAGAGCAGCAGCAGAAGAGTTTGAGGGTTCCACCTCAGGCAGCTTTTGTTCCAGTGTTTTTCATTTCTAACACCCAAGCAAAAAATGAATCACAGAAATATTTTCCATGGCTGTGTTGTAGTAGAGATGGAGACAATGTAAAGCAACACTCCATTTTCAGAAGGCTTCAAACTGTTTTTATTCTAGCATGCATAATTTTTGTACATTCTTACAAAACTCAAGTTGACTCATTGGTCAGGAAGGACAAAGTGCTCACAGTTACAGGTTTCTTTTTTAAGCCTCAGTAACCAAATGGCACCGTGGGAATCACTGCTGGGAGCAGCACCCAAGGCAGAAATCATCATTTTGTCACAGAAGAAAGGGAGTGTGACTCCAGCAGGTGACTCAGAAGGGTGCCACAGCTCTGTTGAGGTTTGAAAGGTGAGGGGAATCCATGGTGCCCCCAAAACACCACAGGGAATCCCTTCATTGTTCAGTGCCAGCTGGGATCTCCTTTCTTTAGCCTCTTCCCCAGCACCTGCCAGCAGTGTCCTGACCCCACAACTCCTGCTTTATTCCTTTTTTTTTAATTTCCTCCTCTTGCTCTGCCCCCCAGTAAGAGAATGGTGACTGAGCCTCCCTGTCCCACCCTCCCAGGCCACCTGTGCCCAGGACACAGCATCACCAGGGTGCCAATTGCCATTTTCTCTTGCAGGCCAAGCACACGGAGCAGCACGAGGGTCGCCTGTACAGCATCCCCCTGGAGGAGGTGAAGGCTGTGTTCCCCCATGGGCTGCCCCATCGTTTCCAGCAGCAGGTATTCCTTGCAGAATTCCTTTCAGATACTCCAGCTTGGGGGGAGTGCACTCAGAGCAGCTGGGGCTGCATCCCTGCAAGTGTCCAAGGCCAGGCTGGAGGGGGTTTGGAACAGCCTGGGACAGTGGGAGGTGTCCCTGCCCGTGGATGTGATGATGTTAAAGGTCCCATCCAGCCCAAACCATTCCATGATTCTGTGTGGGAAGAACCAGATCCATTGGTGATGTTCTGATGGGATGAGAGAGAGCAGGAGTGCAGTTATTCCTGGTCCTTCCTGGTGTTTTCAACATCTAAAAGAGATGAGTCAGCCACCCAGAGCAGCAGCAGAAGAGTTTGAGGGTTCCACCTCAGGCAGCTTTTGTTCCAGTGTTTTTCATTTCTAACACCCAAGCAAAAAATGAATTACAGAAATATTTTCCATGGCTGTGTTGTAGTAGAGATGGAGACAATGTAAAGCAACACTCCATTTTCAGAAGGCTTCAAACTGTTTTTATTCTAGCATGCATAATTTTTGTACATTCTTACAAAACTCAAGTTGACTCATTGGTCAGGAAGGACAAAGTGCTCACAGTTACAGGTTTCTTTTATTTCTCCTCCTTTCTTTCTTGGTTTCTATGTCAACAACCTCAGTAGAAAATTCTTTCAGGGGTAAATATGGATCCTCTTCTCAAACTTCTCTCTGGCTCACAGAAATCACTGTAAAACCTCTTCCACATGGATATATTTCTGTGTGAAACAGGCTGTCTCGTGAAATAAGTTTATATCTGCAACAAAGCAATCTCATCTTCTGATTTGTGTGGTGAGGCAGATGGAGCTGTGCCAGGCTCTGCTCTGCCTGGGTCAGGAACAGATTCCTTACCTGTGCAAATGCACAATTACCTGTGCAAACCATAATTATCTGTGCAAACTCACAGTTACCTGTGCAAACCCACAGTGACCTGTGCAAACCCACAGTGACCTGTGCAAATCCAGGTCACTGAGTTGCATTCATGGCCAGCCCAGTCACCCACAGCCCAGTTTGTGGGAACAGGGTGGAGCAGGTGACCCAGAAAACCTTTTTTGGGCACAGGAAGGACAAGAAAATCCTTCCACTGAGGGAAGCAGCACTTGACAAAGTCCCAGGTGCTGCTGGATCAACCCTGTGGGTGCTGCTGGGCAGAGAGGGCAGAGCTGGGTGTTGGAGCCCTGGATGCTGAGAATTTTCAACTTTCTGTGCTTAAAGGCTCCCACCCACAAGAGAGCACTACAATTTACCTGAGGCTGTGAAGAAGGCTTCAAAAATTGATTAATAATACTGAGATTACAGGTGTGTAGTTGATTAGAAGTGTGTAATATCACAAAGTAGAAAACTTAAAAGGTTGGGGTTTTAGAATATAGAAATAAATATTAAGCAAGATGGAAGTTTTAGAGCAGAGACAAGTTGTTCTTTACCTTCTTCCTTCTTCTTCACCACCTTCTTCCTTCTTCATCTTCTTCTTCCTTCTTCTCCATGTGTTTGGGTCACATTTTGTAATTGGGCAGAAAAGTAGCATTGGGGCTCTTTGGGGTCAGTGATTGGGTTAAAAGGGAAAATAATCTAGGTGTCAGTTCTTAATTGGATAGTTTAGTCTTTAAAGACCTTGTAACAAGAGATAGTTAACCCTTTTGTGCCTGGTTAATGAAAGATTGCAGAAGTCATGGTTGTGAGGCTGTAACACGGAGAAAAATAATAAATACCCGAGTGTGAACATGAAATCTCAGGTGCCTTCAATCCCAACCTCGAGAAACCAATAGCTGGGGGTGCTGGGGGCCTCCAGGCGGGTTTGGAGCAGGGCTGGGGACAGCTGTGCTCAGCCAGCTGGTGGCAGTTTGCTCCCAGCTGTCCTTCCTCAGATCCAGACCTTCAACGAGGCGCGGGTGATGGTGCGGAGGCCGGCGCTGGAGATCCTCTCCTACCTGAAGGGCTCCAACTTTGCCCACCCTGCTGTCAGATACGTGATCTGTATCCTTGAACTTGAGGGTGGAATGGAGAGAAGCACAAGAAATTCGTGCAGGGGAGAGGGTGGTGGGCCTGAGCTGCTCTCCAGGAGGCTGTGCCACGTGGTGTGTGCTCAGTGCAGGAGCTCCAGGGAACTCAGACCTTGGGTGTCTTTATTTTAACTCATGGCACAGACCTTCAAACAGGGTCAGCACACGGGGCATGGGGCTCCTCAGCTCTGCTCAGTGGGTGGGGGACAGGAGAAGGAATTTGGGTTTGCCATCCTTGCTCTGTTGAGCTCTGAACCCTCTTTATGCCCTTTCTGGAGGAATCACAGTCAGATACAAACTGAAATGGTTTTTCAGAGACTTTCCTTGACAGGGCTTGTTGGAGATGGTGAGAGAGGAACAGGCAAGACCATGACCCTGTGCCACGTGGTTCACTACTGCTGGAGGCAGGGCTGGCTGGTGGTGCACATCCCCGACGGTGAGAAAACCAGGGCTCTGGTACCACACCAAACACCAAAAGAAGCTGCTTCAGGAACTGTAGGATGTCCCACCACAATCTATCCTTGTTTTTCTGTAGTGGAAAAGGCTCATAACACACAAAACCCCCAAATAAATTAGAGCATAATTAGTTTATTTTCACCTGCTCACACATCCTTTGGGCCAGTTTGTTTTTCTCCATTGTTAACAGGAATGGGAATAGTTTGGGAGCTGTAGGATATCCCACCATAATCTGTCCTTGTTTTTCTATAGTGGAAATGGCTCATAACGTACAAAACCCCCAAATAAAGTAGAGCATAATTAGTAATTTTCACCTGCTCACACATCCTTTGGGTCAGTTTGGTTTTCTCCATTGTTAATGAGCATGGGAAGAGATTATTTGGGCCCTGTGTGGCCTCCTCTGGGAGGGACAATTCTCCAGGAAGGATGGAGCTGCATCCACCTCTGGGGTCCCAAAGACATGAGCCTGTTGAAATGAGTCCAGAGGAGCACCAAGATGGTCAGAGGGATCAGGGGAGCAGCTCTGCTGTGAGGAAAGGGTTGGGATTGTTCAGTTCAGGAGAAGAAATTGGGATTGTTCAGCCTGAGGGAGAAAAGGCTCTGGGTTCACCTAACTGTGGCCTTGCAGGACCTAATGGGACTGCAAGAAAAATGGAGAGAGAGTATTTAAAATGGAGTGGAGGGACAGGACAAGGGGGAATGGCCTGCCAGAGGGCAGGGATGGGTGGGATGTTGGGAAGAAGTTCCTCCCTGTGAGGGTGGGGAGGCCTTGAGAAGCTGAGGCTGCCCCTGGGTCCCTGGCAGTGTCCAGGGCCAGTTGGGAGCACCCTGGGACACTGGAAGGTGTCCCTGCCATGGCAGGGGGGGACTGGTTGATCTTTAAGGTCCCTTCCAACCCAAACCATTCCATTATTCTGTGACTTTCCTTACCTGAGCTGCAGAGTAAAGACAAGCAACACAAACACCCCTCCCATCCCCACCTCATACCATTATTTTTACTTAAAAAAAAATTCAAAACAAAGTTTTATTTTGCTGACAGCTCATCTCTGGGTGAAGAACTGCAAGGAACTTTTTCAGTCTTCCTACAACAAAGACCGGCTGGATCAGCCCCTGCAGGCTTCTGTCTGGCTCAAGAACTTCAAAGCCACCAATGAACGTTTCCTACAAGAGGTTTGTGGCTGCAAACCCCAGCCCTGCCCTGTGCTGGTCTTCAGTGCTGCAGGAAAAGCACTTTAGACCCCTCTGGGGATGGCTGCTGCTGGTGGATGCTTCTCCCACACTCTGCAGTCCAGCCTTGCTTTGCCTCCTGTCACCCCCAGTCTCATCATAGTTTTCTTCCCACAGATAAAAACACAGAAAAAATACATTTGGGGCAAAAGAGAAAGCACAGAGGAGGGCAGCCCTTTGAGGGAAGTGGTGGAGCAGGTAAGGAACAGGCAGTGCTGCTGGTGTGGTCTCACCTTGTACCAGAGGATCCTGTGTTTGTGGCTCCTAAAGATTGCTCCTAAAGATCTTAGAGATATTGGGGAGTAAAAAGTGTCTCCCTCTCAACAAAAGATGTAGAGAAAATTGTGCAGAGAATTTGGATAGAGACGAAGTTAGAATTTGAAGTTCCCATGTTTTGATGCTCAAAGTGCTCTTGGAAGATGATGTTGACTGTCAGTTTGTCTTCCCCTGGAAGGGCTGCCCAAAAGTCACCCCCTGGCAAGAAATTGTCTTGGTTTGAAAAGACAGGTGTCTGCTAAGGAAGGCAGGAACCTCTGAAATGGAAAATGAATTATTATAATTTTGAATCACTGTGAATTATTACAATTTTAAAGTTGAGGGGCTCTCAGGCAAAGATATGGGAGGGGAGAAGAAAGCTGCTCCTTTGGGAGTGCAGGAGAGAAGAAAGCTGCTCCTCTAGGAATGCAGGGCAGGAGAAAGCTGCTTTTCTGGGAATGCAGGGCAGGAGAAAGCTGCTCCTTTGGGAGTGCAGTGGGCAAAGGCTGCTGGGGTGTCCCAAAGCTCAGATTGTATCCAGGTAGGAATGCTTGGCTCCTCCCCCTGGGATGATGGAATTTCATCAGCCATGCAGTGACACTCAATGGCCCGTGGACAGAAGATAATTAATAATTAATGGTCCATTAACAGAAGAGATCTCCAGGAGGGAGGATTGATTGTGGAAGAGATAAAGAGAACTGCCCCACTTGGTTTTAAGTGTTAAACAGTGTTAATTTCAACAATACGGAGGATTGATTGTGGAAGAGATAAAGAGAACTGCCCCGCTTAGTTTTAACAGTGTTAATTTTAAAAATTAAGAGCAGATAACTGCCCCACTTGGTTTTAAGTGTTAAATAGTGTTAATTTCAACAAATAGCGGATAACTGCCCCACCTGGTTTTAACAATGTTAAACAGTGTTAATTTCAATAATGACCAGCAGATCACTGCCCCACTTGTTTTTAACAGTGTTAATTTTAACAATGAGCAGCAGATCACTGCCCCAGCTGATTTAACAGTGTTAATTTCAATAATGACCAGCAGATCACTGCCCCACTTGTTTTTAACAGTGTTAATTTTAACAATGACCAGCAGATCACTGCCCCACCTGATTTTAACAGTGTTAATTTCAATAATGACCAGCAGATCACTGCCCCACCTGATTTAACAGTGTTAATTTCAATAATGACCAGCAGATCACTGCCCCACCTGATTTAACAGTGTTAATTTCAATAATGACCAGCAGATCACTGCCCCACCTGATTTAACAGTGTTAATTTCAATAATGACCAGCAGATCACTGCCCCATTTGTTTTTAATAGTGTTAATTTTAACAATGAGCAGCAGATCACTGCCCCACCTTTACCAGTGTTAACTTTAACAATGAGCAGCAGATAACTGCCCCACCTGTTTTTACCAGTGTTAACTTTAACAATGAGCAGCAGATCACTGCCCCATTTGTTTTTAATAGTGTTAACTTTAACAATGAGCAGCAGATCACTGCCCCACCTTTACCAGTGTTAACTTTAACAATGACCAGCAGATCACTGCCCCACCTGATTTTACCAGTGTTAACTTTAACAATGAGCAGCAGATCACTGCCCCGCTCTGACCGCTGGCAGCAGAGCTCTCCTGGCAGCCCCAGGCGAGTCTCTCCTGGCAGCCCTGCCAGGCTGAGCTGCTGCCCTGTGCTCCCCGCAGGGCCTGGCGCGGGTCAGGAGTGCCAGCGATGCCGTGGGGGTGCTGCTGAGGGAGCTGAGGCAGCAGAGCCAGCGCGGCTCCTGCCGGCTCCTGGTGGCTGCGGACGGCGTCAACGCGCTCTGGGGACGGACCACGCTGAGCAAGGAGGACAAGAGCCCTGTGAGGAGCTGCCTGCTGGGGCTGGGGTGCTCACAGCACAAAGCTACGCGCCTGTTTCAGCAGGATTCAAACCTGGTTTTGCTCTAGCATGCATGGCTTTTGTACACTTTTACAAAACTCGTAACTTCACATTTTATTCACTGATCACTTAAGACAAAGTGCCCATAGTTCCAGTTTTCTCTTATTTCTCCTTTCTTTCTTGGTTTCTGTATTCTTTCTATGTTTTCTATGTTTTTTCTATGTTTTTGTGGTAGAAAATTCTTTCAGGGGTAAACATGGATCCTCTTCTCAAACTTCTCTCTGGCTCACAGAAGTCACTGTAAAACCTCTTCCACAGAGCCTTTTTGGGCTACCTAAAAGCAGAGGCCAGACAAAATGAAGAGAATAAAAGCAGTTTTATTTATTGAAGGGTCTTAAGACACATTTTGGGCAGACAAAGCCCACAGGGGCTGCACCCAAAAATGGACAATGCATCACAGGTTTTCAAACTTTTATTAGTTTGGTCCATTTGCATATTGGGGGTTAATCTTCCAATTACAGTAATAAAGTCATTTACCCCCAGTTTGCTCTCCCCAGCTCACTTTTATTTACATTTCTCAAGGCCTGAGGCAGTGAGGTGTCCTTGATTGCCAGGCCTGGAGAGGAATTGTGTCTGCCCAAAATGGGAGAGCAACAGCTAACACTGGAGTTAGCTGGATATGGAGTTATGCACCAAAGAATTGCAGATTTAAAGGTGTATGGGAAAATCAGGATTACAAACACATAAAAATCAGAAAATATGTTTTAAAACTTATAGAAATATCTATAAATATATATATAGATATAAATTATAAAAGCTAAAATCCTTTGGCACCATTCCCCCAGAGCTCTCCCTGGGGACAGCCCTGACTCCTGCTGCAGGGATAGCAGGGAGGCTCTTTGGTTCACTTTTAATTCTGTGGCAATCCCTGAAAAAGTTCAGGCTTTCAGGGGTCTGACAGGTTCTCGTTGTGCTTCAGACAGTTTTCCCTGAGTTTTTCCTGTCTCTCCCTGGGGCAGAAGTGCAGTGGGGGTTGGAGAGGCAGAGCCTGGTGTTGCTCAGTGACTCAGGCTCGGTGCTGCAGGGCCAAGGGAAAGCAGAGAATGAAACATTCCTGAAGGATGGGAATGATCCTGCCAGCCTGGCTGGAGGGAGGGGAGGGGAGTTGGTGTCTCAGATGGGAGCTGCTGGCAATGAAATAGTGATGCAGACAATCTCCACCAGGTTTCTCCTGAGGAGCTGACGCTGGTGCACAACCTGAGGAAGATGCTGATGAACGACTGGGTGAGTGCCAGCCTCTGCCTTTGCCTCTGTCTCTGCCAGCAATTAAATCTGCCACAAGCCCAAAGCTGCGAGTCCAGCAGTGCTGAGGGAGGGCCCAGGCCCAGCAGCAGAGTCTCAGAGACTGTGACACCCTGAGGAGAATGGGCACAGCTGGAATCTGCAGCAGCAGCTCCTGATTCCCCTGGCAGGCCCTGCTGGAGGACCCTGAGCTGGTGTCTGACAGCCCTTGGGGCAGTTTGGGTTATGAGTTCTTTGAGCTAGTGAGAACTTCTGGTTTCTGAACATTTTGCTGTAGGAGGTCAACTCCTCCTGCTGCTGCTTTTTCAATCCCCTGGATGCTCAGAGCTAGAACGAGTAGGCTGCAGATTTAAAGGTGCATAGGAAAGTCCATTTTAAATTATTTCACTTGTTGGCAGAGAAAACCCATTATAGGTAAGAAAAGTTTTGATGCCAGCCCTGGAAACATGAGCTGTGTATTTATTTTCCCCATGCTCACATGGAGCAGCCAGGATTAGTGTGGTCTGGAGCATTATAAAAAGTTAATCTTGTAGAATTTTTGAAGTACCCAGATCCCAGAATGGGATCTTAAAGCCCACTCAGTGCCACCCCCTGCCATGTCAGGGACACCTGCTGCTGTCCCAGGCTGCTCCCAGCCCCATCCAGCCTGGCCTTGGGCACTGCCAGGGATCCAGGGGCAGCCCCAGCTGCTCTGGGCACCTGTGCCAGGCCCTCACACCCTCCCAGCCAGGAATTCCTTCCCAATATCCAGCTCTGCCCTGTTCCTGTGAAACCACCCCCCTTGTCCTGTCCCTCCATCCTTGTCCCCAGTCCCTCCCCAGCTCTCCTGGAGCCCCTTCAGGCCCTGCAAGGGCTCTGAGCTCTCCCTGGAGCCTTCTCCCCTCCAGGTGAGCCCCCCCAGCTCTCCCAGCTCAGCAGAGGGGCTCCATCATGGAACCCTTGCTCCAGCAGCTCCATCTGCAATAAAAAGATGCCTCAGAGATTGATCCTAAAGCAGCACTGGGGTTGAGCTGAGAGGATTTTTATTTCTGCTCTGCCTTCCAGAGTGGAGGTGCCATTGTGACCACCCTGAGCCAGACTGGCTCTCTCTTCAAGCCCAGCTCAGCCTACACTCCCCAGGAGCTGCTGGGAAAGGTGAGCCACGGCCTCTTCTGGGTTATTTTCCCCTCTTCACATTGGGAAACAAACAAAGAAATGTTTGGTGCCTGGTGCTGTTCAAGGGGACTCTGCTCAGGCTCTCTGTGGACCACACACACACCTTTGGGTCAGCAGTGCCCTGGGTGCCAGGGCAGCCAGGAGTGCCCCGGGCTGTGCCAGGCACAGGGGCAAGGCAGGGATTGCCCTGCCCTGCCCTGCCCTGGGGCAGTCTGGGCATCACAGCCTGGGAAAGCTGAAGCTGCTGAAGTGAAGGGTCTGGAGGATGAGGAGCACCTGAGGGCATTTCTGTCCTGCTGGAAAAGAGGAGCCTGAAAGGAGAGCTCAGGGATCTGCAGCTCTGATTTCTGTGGGCAGGACAGGACCCAAGGAATGCTGGAGCTGTGTCAGGGAGGGTTGGGCTGGACGGCAGGAAAAGGAGCAGGAAAAGGAGCAGGAAAATGCTCTTCTCCCAGAGGCTGCTGGCACTGCCCAGGGAATGGGCACAGCGCCAGGGCTGCCAGAGCTGCAGGAGCCCTTGGACAGCACTCCCGGGCACAGGATGGGATTTTGGGGTGTTGGGATTTTGGGGTGTTGGGATTTTGGGGTGTCTCCAGGGCCAGGAGCTGGACTGGGTGATCCTCGTGGGTCCCCTCCAACCCTGGATATTCCATGATGAGCTCTCTCTGGGTCGTGTCCCCACCACTGACCCTGCCTGACCCCCCTTCCCAGGAGGGCTTCGACGCCTTGGACCCCTTCGTGCCCATCGCTGTCCCCAACTACAGCCCCAGGGAGTTCGAGAGCTGCTACGGCTACTACCTGGAGCGCCGCTGGCTGCAGCACGAGCGAGGTCGGTGCCGCGGCGGGGCCGGGCTCGGTCCCGTCCCTGCCCAGCCCCTCCAGCTCTGTTTTTCTCTCCCGCAGCGCACACCGAGGACGGCAAGGCGGAGCTGCGGTTCCTCAGCGGCTGCAACCCGCGGCAGCTGGACCGGCTGGCGGGACCGCTATAGCGCAATAAAGGCTCCGTTCTGCCGCTGTCCGTGTCCTGTATCCCTGTGTCCCGGTGTCCATGCCCGTGCCCTGTGTCCGTATCCCAGTGTCCATGCCTGTATCCCTGTGTTCTTGTCCCGTGTCCATGCCCGTGTCCCGGTGGCCGTGTCTGTGTCCCATGTCCCGGTGTCGTGTCCTGTATCCCAGTGTCCCGGTGCCCATGTCCCGGTGTCCATGTCTGTGTCCCTGTGTTCTTGTCCGTGCCCGTGTCCATGTCCCCGTGTCCCAGTGTCCGTGTCCATGCCCGTGTCCGTGTTCTTGTCTGTCTCCCGGTGTCCGTGCCCGTCTCCTGGTGTCCGTGCTCGTATCCCGGTGTCCATGCCCGTATCCCTGTGTTCTTGTCCGTGTCCGTGTGTCGGTGGCCGTGTCTGTGTCCCATGTCCCGGTGTCGTGTCCTGTATCCCAGTGTCCCGGTGCCCATGTCCCGGTGTCCATGTCTGTGTCCCTGTGTTCTTGTCCGTGCCCGTGTCCGTGTCCCCGTGCCCGTGTCCCCGTGTCCATGTCCGTGTCCCGTATCCCGGTGCCCGTGCCCGTGTCCCCTATCCCGGTGCCCGTGCCCGTGTCCCCGTGTCCCCGTGTCCGTGCCTGCGCGTGCCCGGCCCCGCCGCTGTCCCCGCCCGTCCGGGGCGGTCCCGGCCGTGACGCGCGGCGGTTCCTGCGGGGCGATGCCGGGCGAGGCGGTCACGCTGCAGCTCGGGCACTTCTCGGGCTGCGTGGGCGCGCACTGGTGGGAGAGCCCCGCGCCGCGCCTGGTGGCGCTGGAGCTGAAAGGTACCGGGGCGGGAGCGGGCCCGGGCGGCGCCGGGCGGCCCGCCCTGACCGGGCTGTGCTTGCAGGCGGCGTGGGCGCGCTCGGAGCGGACGGGGCGGGCGCGGAGCCGCCCGTGAGCTGGTGAGTGCGGGATGGGGCTGCCGGGGAGTGCGGGACAGTGCGGGATGGGATGGAGCTGCCGGTGAGCCGGGGAGTGCGGGACGGGGTCCCGCAGCTGCCGCCGCTTTGTGTCGCAGGGACGGGCCCGTGGCCGACTACCGGGAGCGGGGCTGCCCGTCGCGGGACACCGGGAGCTGCAGGGTGAGCGCGGCCGCGGGTCCCGCAGCGCTCCGGGAGCGGGGGCGAGGCGGAGCCCCCCTGACCGGGATCGGGATTGTTCCCGCAGGGAGACGCTGCCGGGGACAGGAAGGGCAGTGCCGGTGCTGCGGGGCCAGGTTTGTGCTCGTCCGCGGGGGTCAGCTCCAGAAAGGCAGAATGCCCTGGATCCTGCTGCGGGACAGCGCTGGGGAACGGGGAGAAGGGAAACTGGGATAAAGGTGCTTGGCTTAGGGAGAGCTGGGTCAGAGCAGGTGGGCTAAAAAACCGGACAGGTTAAAAAACTGATTCTGCATTCATGGAGATGCTGAGAGCTCAGAGGATGCTCAGAGCAGAAAGGGGATGCTCAGAGCATGTTAGAAAACTTGGGTCAGAGCAGGTGGGCTAAAAAACCGGACAGGTTAAAAAACTGATTCTGCATTCATGGAGATGCTGAGAGCTCAGAGGATGCTCAGAGCATGTTAGAAAACAGATTTTACATTCACAAGGATGCTCAGAGCTGCAAGGAGGTGCTGAGAGTAGAAAGGGGAGGCTCAGAGTATGTCAGAAAACTGGTTTTATATTCATGGGGCTGCTCAGAGCTGCAAGGACCTTTGCCCTGCCCTCTGCCTCCCTGCAGGTGCAGCTCCTGCAGGGTCCCAGGCCCCCTCAGTGAGGCTCTGGTCTGACTACCTCAACGTTCCTCTGCACCCCAGGAGCCTCTACGTGATCCGGCAGTACCTGCACGATGGGTAGGGCCAGGGCTTTGGTGCACAGCCAACCCAGGAGCCGAGTTTTGCCTTCAAGGATGAATAAAAGAGGTAAAATAACCCCTCTCTGCCCCTTTTTCCCTTAGGGACTGTGGATGTCTCGAAGCCTTCGGGCAAGGTGAAAGTCTCCTGCAGGACCCTGCCTGTGTGGAGGAGCTGGAAGATCGGCTGCACTTCTTTGTTGAGGAGTGTGATTACCTCCAGGTTCACACCTTGCCCAAGCTCCCTTTGCTCCCAAGAAGCTTTCTGCTCAAGGTGGAGCAGCCGCTGAGGTGCTGCTGCTGTTTCCCGCAGGGGTTTCAGGTGCTGTGTGACATTCACAATGGGTTCTCTGGAGTTGGTGCCAAGGTGACAGAGCTGCTCCACGATGAATATTCCCGGAAGGGGATCCTGACCTGGGGCCTGACTCCAGTGCTGAGCACTGTGGCAGTGAGTGAACAACGGGCACAGCCAAGAACAGGCGCCCAGCCTGCCTCTCACAGCTTCTTCTCTGCTCCTTAGGGTTCCAATGGTCGGATTTTTTTCTCCCCCAGGACCCTCAGAAGAGTTTTTACAGACTGATGAACACAGCCCTGGGCATTGCCCACCTCTCCCGTCACAGCTCCCTCTTCTGCCCCCTGTCACTCAGTGGGAGTTTGGGGATCAAGCCAGAGCCTCCTGTGACGTTTCCATACATAAAATACAATGTAAGTCCTGCACGGGATCTCCCACGGGGCTGGCTTTGAGCTCCTGCAGCTTCACCCCTCTCAGTGTTTCCTGCAGCTCTGTGGTTTTTCATGGTGCTGTTCAGCTCAGCAGAGACCTTTTCCTGCTTTTTCACTGGGACTTAGCTGCCAACTTTTCATTTCTGTCATTTTCTTCGTGCTTTTGAAAATACTAACACATTTCCTTGGCTGTTGTGCTTTCTGTGGGGTGCTGGGTGAAGAAAAGGCTTTACTGCATTTTTCTCCATGCTTGGAGTAACTCCAGCCCCACTGGAGCTCTAAGGAGCCAAAGACAGATAAGAAAACTGGCACCAAAGCATTTGTCAGCCAACAGCTGGGCTGGAGCTACAGTTACACACTGGCTGCTTATCCCAAGCCTGAAATAACTGTAAACTCTTGAAAGGCACAATTTAAATCTGGGTAAGTTGGACACACAAACTGTGAGCTCCCTGCAGTTCCTGCATTTGTCTCCTCCCCAGGCATCCCTGAACTACCACAGCAGTGCAATTCTGGCAGCAGCACTGGACACCCTCACAGCTCCCTACAGGCTCTGCTCCTCCCAGGGCTCCATGCTGCACTTGGCTGACTCCCTCACCTTCTCTGGGAGGAAGGTGAGGATGAGGATGCCTTCCAGCTGTGCTGCACAGCCCCAGCTGTGCCGGGGCGTGTCCCAGACTCTGCTCTGTCCCCCACGTCCAGGTTGTGGCTGCTTGGGCAGCTCTTCCCTTCCCTGCCTTGTCTGGCTCCTCGCTCCCTGATGTTTTAAGTGCCCACCAGGATGTGCCCTGGAAGCTTCTGTCCTCCTGGAAGGAGCAGAAGGGCAGCTGCTGTTTTGCTCAGTCTGCTGTGCTGCGAGGAATTTGCCAAGAGAAAAGCAGGTAAATCAGCACTGGAACTGCACTCCCTGCAGGATCCCTCACTCCCTCCACTGAGGAGCATCTGTGCCTGGGTGCTACTGATTTTAGAGCAAAACAACAAAAAGCAGCTGAGGCACTGGTGGTTTCAGGCTGGAAAATGCTGGATTTCCTTTGCAGCAGCTGCCTGGGCCAGCCCAGGTCCCCCCTGCACAGCTGTGAGAGCTCTGAGGAGGTGCTCCAGCACTACTTCCACACCCGGTTCCCAGGAGCCTTCAGGTGGGGGCAGGTTTGGAACTTCAGGGGTGGTTTAGAACAGGAGCGGCTGAGGGAGCTCTGGGTAACTTTATTCACCTCCTCACAGCACATCCCACGTGCTCCAGCAGCCCTGTCACACCCAGCCTCCCTTCCCTCAGTTCTTCTCTCCTCTCCTGACCAGACGAGGTTTCCTCCTGGACAAAGCTCAGGGCTTTTCCTCAGCAGGTAACAAACCCCCCTTCAGCTCTGCCACTGAGAGATCAGGGCCTAACAGAGGTAAAAAATTACCAATAACAAACCAAAATTCCTAACAACAAACCAAAATTACCCATAACCAAAATCACCCATCACCAAAATTATCAATACCACAACCCAAGGCGGTGCGCAGAGCTGAGCTCGAGCAAACCAAGTGCCCGTGAAGCAGCACAGAGCTGGGTTTTGGTGGCTCTTTCACCCTGTGTGCTGTCCCCTGCAGGCGTTGAGAGCGTGCCCGTGCTGGCAGCCCTGCAGAGCTGCCCCGGGCTGCAGGGGCTGCTCTGGGGGCTGTGCCGGGAGCTGCGGGCGCGGCGCTGCAGCGGCTCCTGCGCGGCTGGGCTGGAGCACGACGACTTCCAGGAGGCCCTGGAGGAGCTCAGGACGCTGGCCCAGTGCTACCAGACAGGGTCTGGAGCTGATGGATCTGAGGATGAAGAAGATTCAGACTGATGCAGGGTGGGAGTGGCTTTAAGGTGGCTCCCAGAATAAAGGAATGGTTTTGGAGATGGCCCCGCTGCTCTTTCTTCTCATTTTACCCAAAAAAAATCTTCTCACTTCTTGGTGAAGTAACAAAAACCCCTGCAACTCTGCAACAGAGAGAACAGGGGCCTAACAGAGGTAAAAAATTACCAGTAACAAAACCAAAATTATTAACAACAAACCAAAATGATCAATACAACAACAACCCAAGGCGCTGTGCAGAGCTGAGCTCAAGCAAACCCAGTGCCTGTGAAGCAGCTCAAAGCTGGGTTTTGGTGGCTGTTTAACCCTGCAGAGATGGCTCCACTGCTCTTTCTTCTCCTTTTACCCAAAAAAATATTCTCACTTCTCGGTGAAGTTCTTCTTCAGAGGAAAGCTGCTTTTTTTGGGAATGGTTTTGTATATTTGGGTTGGGTTTTTTTCAGCTGTGCAAACTGGATTTGCTCTGCCTGTTCAAATAAACCCACGCAATAAATAGAAAATTCAGTCTGTGACCGTCTCACATACAATCAGCACAAGGGGAGAACTTAGAAAAAGTCATGTGTTTGTTGCACATGAAAACTGGCATTTCAGGGTACAATATTTACAGGTCCTGGTCAGAGGCTGCTGGCCCAACCTTCACCCCAGGCCAGGTCAGTGTCCACAAGTTCTGTTACTCCACTGCTGAAGCTCCCCAGGGGAGTTCTTGAGAATTTTCTCCTTTTACTTCCTGCCTTTAGTCCAGGCTGGAAACTGAACAAAAAATGAAGGTGCTGTCTCAAGTACCTGTGCAAACATTTTTCCACAGCACCTGTCTAGCAGCAAACTGGTTTAAAAAAACCCCAAACCCTCTTCTGGTGCAGTCAGTAGCTGATCACCTCAGTCATCAGGCTCTTCCTCAGAGAGCAGCAGATCTTTGTCTGACAGCTGGTCTGTGTTGCTGGTGCTGGTGGCATCCTCCTCATCCTCAGAGCTGCCATCGCAGGAGGTGTGGAACAGCCTCATCAGCTCCCTGAACCTGTGGGACACCTGAGAAAGGCAAATCCAGGCTCAGAAGGGACCTCGTGGCACTGGAATTTCATATTACAAAGCTCAGGGTGTCCTGTAACACCAAAATAAATCAATACCACAGTGGCATTGAGGCATAAAGGAAAAGGAAGAGAAAAGGAAGAGAAAAGGAAGAGAAAAGGAAGAGAAAAGGAAGAGAAAAGGAAGAGAAAAGGAAGAGAAAAGGAAGAGCACTGGGTTTTGTTTTCTCTCTTACATTCTCCAGTAAATCTGGCAGTTTGGGAGGATTCAGAGGCAAAAGCAGATCTTTGTACAGGAGGAGAGGCTGAGGAGCAGCCACTGAAACAAGTCCAGTGCCAAAAGTGCAGCTCAAACATCAATGAGGGCATTTTTGGCACCACTAAATCAGAATTTGGCTTGCTTTTGAGTTTTTTTTATTTGAAAGTGAGATTTTTTCATCAAACAGAAGTTTGGGAGGCTGACAGGACAGCACCCCCTCCTTCCCACCCCTGTCCCACAGCTGCCTCACCTCACTCGCTGTCTTGTTGCCCAACTTCTGGGAGATGGCGTGGAAGGTGTCCAGGTGGGCTCCCTTCTCCTGGCACGTGGTGAGGATGACTCTGTCAGCCTCCCTGCACGACAAAACCCCTGAGAAATCACCCCAAAACCAGCAGCAGACCCAAACCCCCCCAGCAATGCCTGAGCAAGGCCCCTCCTGCCACCCCCAACCCCAAAACCCGTCTCCAAGCAGAGCTCCTTCAGCCTGGATTTAAGTTTTTTGAAGGAGGTTTTAAGGTTTTTTGAGGAACCTTTTGAGAAGGTTTTAAGGTTTTTTGGATGAACCTTCTGGCTCCTTCAGCCTGGATTTAAGTTTTTTGAAGGAGGTTTCAAGGTTTTTTGGAGGAACCTTTTGAGAACGTTTTAAGGTTTTTTGGATGAACCTTCTCAGATGGTTTTAAGGGTTTTTTGAGGAACCTTTTGAGAAGGTTTTAAGGGTTTTTTTGAGGAACCTTTTGAGAACATTTTAAGTTTTTTTGGAGGAACATTTTGAGAATGTTTTAAGGGTTTTTGGAGGAACCTTCTGAGAAGGTTTGAGGTGTTTTCTCCCCAGTCTGAAGTGCCCCATAAGAGCCCTGCCAGGAGCAGCTCATGGGGCCAAACTGATGAACAGAGGAAAGGGAAGGGTCAGAAAAGAAGGACACAAAACAAAAGTAGGAGCTGGAGGCAAACAGGGGCCCAGAACGGGGAGCTCAGGCAGGAGTACCTGGTCCAGAGCACGACCTTCTCCCCCGTGGAGCTGACTTTGCTGTTCTTGGCACACACGGTGGCCTCTGTCACCCGCTGCTGCTGCTGCTCCTCCTCCCTGTGCCCGGGGGCTCGGGGCTGCAGCTGCGCAGGGCCATGCACCAGGGAGCTGCTGCTGCTGCTGCTGCTGCCATTTGTCCTTGGCCTGCCCTCGGGAGCAGCTCCAGTGCAGCCTCTGTGCTGTGGCTGCAAGCTGCAGTGCCCAGGGGAGCCTGAGCTGCAGCTCTGCCCTGCTGCTGCTTTGCTGCACCTCCCCTGCTCTGCTGCATCTCTGCTGCTCCCCTGCTCTGCTGCTGCTTTGCCGCTGCTCCCCTGCTCTGCTGCAGCTCTGCTGCACCCCTGCCCTGCTGCTCTGCTGCACCTCCCCTGCTCTGCTGCATCTCTGCTGCATCTCTGCTCTGCTGCTGTACTGCTGCAGCCCTGCTCTGCTGCTGCTTTGCTGCTGCTGCCCTGCTCCCCTGCAGCCCTGCAGCTGCCACCCTGCCCTGCAGCAGGCTGCAGCCCCTGGGGCAGGCAGGCTGGGGCTCCCTGTGCCCCCGCAGGCAGCAGCAGGTCCCTGCCCAGCGCCGCCGCAGCCCCCGGGCACGCGCCGGGCTCCGCAGGCAGCCCCAGAGCAGCTCCCTGCAGCCGGGCCCAGCCGGAACCTTCCGGAAGCTGGGCAGCAGCGGGGGCACAGGGGCTGGCATCCCGGGACCCTGCGGGACAAACACAGCTCTCAGCAGCCTGGCTTGGGAGGGGAGTCACTGATAGAGCCCAGGCTGACATATATATACATATATACACACATATATTATATACATATATATACATATATATACATATATATTATATACATATACATATATATTATATACATATGTATATATGTATATACATATATATAAGTACAGCCTGGCTTGGGAGGGGAGTCACTGATAGAGCCCAGGCTGCACGCCGGGCTCTCACTGCACTCAGTCAACGTGCAGTGATATTGTATATATCAATATATAAATGTAAATAAAAACACATATATATTATATACATATATATACACATACATATATACACACATATATATATAAGTTTAAATATATGTAAAGGGAGCAGTCATTGTGAAAAGAGCAGAATATTCTTTTGAAGGCAGAGGTTTAGAGCATCCACAATGGAGGAACAAGAGAGAAAAAAGTGAGAAGGTAATGATTTAGCAGTTTTCATTATACTCAATAAATGTGCATTTATATTATATATATTTAAATATAAAAATAGAAATGTATATCATATAGAAATAAATAAATATTTTATCTATATTTTTATATATATATCTACATATATAAATAAATAAATTTATATTTTTATATATATATTTACATAAATAAATAAATAAATAAATAAATAGATGGAGCAATCATTGGGGAAAGGGCAGAATATTCCCTAGGCAGGAAAGGTTTTGTTGAATTTAGAGCATCCAGAGTGGAGAAACAAGAGAAAAAAAAGTGAAAAGACGATTAGAAGTTCTCATTATACTTAATAAATGTGCATTTAAAATGTATTATACATATAATATATATTTTAAATGTACATGTTAAATATATTACATTTATAATATACATTATATACAATATATAAAATATATAGTATATAACATACATACTATATAATATATATTATATTTATATATATTATATAATATATGTTATATATAATATATAATGTATTGTATATATAATGTATTGTATATATAATATATATTAAGTATAGTTTTTATGTAGTATTTTAATATAATATATATAATAAATATAATATATTTTAATATATGATATATAATACATATAATATATTTTCAATCTATGATATACATTATATAACATCTAGAAGACATTTCCCACATTCCATGTGAACTCTACCCATACACGCCCACCGAGAGAAGGGGCTGGCCGTGCCCGGTGCGCAGGCAGGCGGCACACACCTGGGCACTGCCCCCTCCTGGGGCCAGCCTTGGCTCTGCCCGGGCCCGGCTCCGGCTCCTCGCTGCCCGAGGGGCTCTCCTCTCCCGCGGCTGCCCTCCCCTCGGGCTGGGGGCTGCAGTCGCGGGCAGCCAGGCTGGCCGGCAGCTCCGCGGCGTCCTTGTGCTTGTGCAGCCGGGGCTCACACACCTGCGAACAGGGGGCACTCACACAGGGCACCGTGCCAGCCGGCACGGCACGGCACGGCCCGGCATGGCACAGCACGGCACGGCCCGGCACGGCACAGCACAGCACAGCCTGGCACAGCACAGCCCGGCACGGCATGGCACAGCACAGCACGGCACAGCACGGCCCGGCACAGCACGGCACGGCACGGCCCGGCACGGCACAGCACGGCACGGCCCGGCACGGCCAGGCTGCCCAGGGCTCCACCAGGCACTGGCTGTGCTTTGGAAAGGCCAAATTATTTATTTTTATTAATATTATTATTAACATCATTATTATTAATATTATTACTATTATCATTATTATTATAATCATCATCATTATTATCATTATTATGGGAGGGGAGGGGGCACCCCTGGATGGATTCCCTTTTTATATATATATTTACATACTTCCTCACCCTGGATGGATTCCCTTCCTCATCCCAGGATTTGGGGGCTCCCAGGAGGTTCCCCAGGATTTGGGGGCTTGATTCCCTTCCTCATCCCAGGATTTGGGGGCTCCCAGGAGGGTCCCCAGGATTTGGGGGGTCCCAGGAGTGTCCCCAGGAGGGTCCCCAGGATCGGGGGGTCCCCGGAGGGTCCCCAGGATTTGGGGGGTCCCAGGAGGGTCCCCGGAGGGTCCCCAGCCCCCTGCCCCGCTGACCTTGCTCCCGCAGTGGCTGCAGCTCCTCCTCTTGCTCTTCTTCAGCCTCAGCTCGCCGCTGCCCTCGTGGCAGGGGCAGGAGCAGGAGCACTCCTTCAGCTCCTTCACCCCCTCCGGCCACTCGGCCTCCTGCGGACGGACAGACAGACCCAGCTGACAGACTGACAGAGCCCCAGCTGACAGACAGACAGGCAGACTGACCCAGCTGACAAACAAACACCCCAGCTGACAGACAGAAAGAGAGAGAGACAGACAGACTGACTGACTGACAGACAGACAGATGGATTGGGGGGTCCCAGGAGGGTCCCCGGAGGGTCCCCAGCCCCCTGCCCCGCTGACCTTGCTCCCGCAGTGGCTGCAGCTCCTCCTCTTGCTCTTCTTCAGCCTCAGCTCGCCGCTGCCCTCGTGGCAGGGGCAGGAGCAGGAGCACTCCTTCAGCTCCTTCACCCCCTCCGGCCACTCGGCCTCCTGCGGACGGACAGACAGACCCAGCTGGCTGACAGACTGACCCAGCTGGCTAACACACTGACAGACAGAGCCCCAGCTGACAGACAGACAGGCAGACTGACCCAGCTGACAAACAAACACCCCAGCTGACAGACAGAAAGAGAGAGAGACAGACAGACTGACTGACTGACAGACAGACAGATGGAAAACACCCCAGCTGACAGACAGACAGACAGGGGCCACGGGGGCTCCAGTGCTGCTGGCCAGCAAAGCACAGCAGAGCCACCCCCAGCCCATCCCTGCCAGGCTGCTCCCACACCCCCAGGAACACAATGCAATCCAAATGCAATCCACATTTAACCCAAATGTAATCCCAGTGCCATCCCAATGAATCTCAATTAAATCCCAATGCCACCCCAACGCCATCCCAATTAAATCCTAATGCCATCCCAATGAATCTCAATTAAATCCCAATGCCACCCCAACGCCATCCCAATTAAATCCTAATGCCATCCCAATGAATCTCAATTAAATCCCAATGCCACCCCAACGCCATCCCAATTAAATCCTAATGCCATCCCAATGAATCTCAATTAAATCCCAATGCCACCCCAACGCCATCCCAATTAAATCCCAATGCCATCCCAAATAATCCCAATGCCATCCCAATGCAATCCCAATTAAATCCCAATGCCATTTGCTCACAGATAAGAAATACCAGGGAGATGCCCCAGACCCAATTTAATCGAAATTTAATCAAAATTTAATCCAAATCTAACCCAAATTTAATCCCAATTTAACCTCAATTTAATTTGCTCACAGGTGAGAAACACCAGGGAGATGCCCCAGGCCCAATTTAATCCCAAATTTAATCCGATTTTAACCCAGATTTAACCAAACTTAACCCAAATTTAATCTGCTCACAGGTGAGAAAAACCAGGGAGATGCCCCAGACCCAATTTAATCCATATTCAATCTGAATTCAATCCAAATTTAATTTGCTCACAGGAGGGACATGACCCAGACCCAATTTAATCCAAATCTAACCCCAATTTAATCCCAATTTAACCCCAATTTCACTTGCTCCCAGGTGAGACACTCCAGGGAGGTGCCCCAGACCCAACTGAATCCCCATTTAATCCAAATTTAATCCCATTTTAACCAAATTTAACCCAATTTCACCTGCTCACAGGTGAGACACTCCATGATGGTGCCCCAGACCAAATTTAATCCCCATTTAATCCCAATTTAACCCAAATTTAACCCAAATTAACCAAAATTTCACCTGCTCCCAGGTGAGACACTCAGGGAGCTGCCCCAGACCCAATTTAATCCCAAATTTAACCCAAATTAACCCAAATTTCATCTGCTCCCAGGTGAGACACTCAGGGAGTTGCCCCAGACCCAATTTAATACCCATTTAATCCAAATTTAACCCAAATTTAACCCAAATTAATCCAAATTTAACCTGCTCCCAGGTGAGACACTCAGGGAGTTGCCCCAGACCCAATTTAATCCCAAATTTAACCCAAATTTACCCAAATGTAACCCAAATTAACCCAAATTTAACCCAAATTTACCCAAATTTAACCCAAATTAACCCAATGTAACCCAAATTTAACTCAAATTTAATCCAAATTAACCCAATTTAACCCAATTTAACCCAAATTTCCAACCCAAATTAACCCAATGTAACCCAAATTTAACTCAAATTTAATCCAAATTAACCCAAATTAACCCAATTTAACCCCAATTTCACCTGCCCACCCACCTTGTCCTGCTGTTGTCCTCCCATCTCCTTCCTCCTCTTGCTCCTGGTGGCTCCATGGATTTTGGGGGGCTCATCCTCCTCTTCCACGTCTGGCAGAGACACCTCCTCAAAGCCATCAAACTGCAGCACAACAAACACACAACAGCTGCTCTCCAAATGTTTCTTTTCTGGGGGGTTTTAAATTTTTTTTTAAATATTTTTAAAAATTTTCTGGGTTTTTCCCCCCCAAGAAAATAAAAACACTGCTCAAAATTTCAAAGGCTTTGCTCTCCCACCCCTCTGCCTCTGGAATTCACCCTCTAAAACTGAGTTCTTCCAGCTCAAATGTGACTTTTATCTCTGCTTTTGTCATTTTTTTGGTTTTGGGGGGATTTCTGCACCTCGTACTCCTTCTCCTCTGTCCAGTTGATCTCCTCAAAGTCTCCCAGGCGGCTGGCAGAGGGCCTGAGGTGATCAAAGAACACGGAGAACTCATCCTGCAGGTGGTCGTGGCCCTTCAGGAGCTGCCACATCTGGGTCTTCAGCTGCAAAAGGGCAAAAAGTCAGGAAAAAATAATAATTTCACCTCCTCTGCCCTGGGCTCTGAGGGATCATTGGAGCTGCAGGGTGGAGACTGCAAATTCCTGGGTGCTGGGGATCATTCCCCACCCAGTGTCCAATTAGCCTGGAAATTTAATCACATTAGCCTGGAAATTTAATCATATTAGCCTGGAAATTTCATCACATTAGCCTGGAAATTAAAGCAAATTAGCCTGGAAATTAAACCAATATAGCCTGGAAATTTAATCAAATTAGCCTGGAAATTTAATCATATTAGCCTGGAAATTTTATCACATTAGCCTGGAAATTAAAGCAAATTAGCCTGGAAATTAAACCAAATTAGCCTGGAAATTAAACCAATATAGCCTGGAAATTTAATCAAAATAGGCTGGAAATTTAATCAAATTAGCCTGGAGATATTCCTCCAGAATTCCAGAATTCAGCTGGGTCTGGGCCATCTCCCTGGTATTTCTCACCTGTGAGCAGATTAAATTTGGATTAATTTTGGATTAAATTTGGCCTGGAACTCCTCCCTGGTATTTCCTATCTGTGAGTAAATGAAATTGGGATTAAATTGGGATTGAATTTGGATTAAATTTGGATTAAATTGGGATTAAATTGGGATTAAATTGGGATTAAATTGGGATTAAATTTGGCCTGGGCACCTCCCTTGTATTTCCTGTCTGTGAGTAAATGAAATTGGGATTAAATTTGGATTGAACTGGGATTAAACTGGGATTAAATTGGGCCTGGGGGACCTCCATGGTGTTTTAATCTGTGAGCAGATTAAACTGGAGTTAAATTTGGATTAAATTTGGCCTGGAACCTCTCCCTGGTATTTCCTATCTGTGAGCAAATTAAATTGGGATTGAATTGGGATTAAACTGGGCCTGGGGCACCTCCCTGGTATTTTTCACCTCTGAGCAGATTAAATTTGGGATTAAATTTGGATTAAAGTTGGTCTGGGGTATTTCTCACTTCTGAGCAAGAGCAAATTAAATTGGGATTGAATTGGGATTAAATTGGGCCTGGGGCACCTCCCTCGTATTTTTCACCTCTGAGCAAATTAAATTTGGATTAAATTAGGGTTAAATTGGGATTAAATTGGGTCTGGGGCCTCTCCCTGGTATTTCTCACCTGTAAACAAATGAAATTTGGATTAAATTGGGATTAAATTGGGCCTGGGCACCTCCTTGGTATTTCTTACCTGTGAGCAAATTAAATTTGGATTAAATTGGGATTAAATTTGATCTGGGGCCTCTCCCTGATATGTCTCACCTGTGAGCAAATGAAATTGGGATTAAATTTGGATTGAATTGGGATTAAACTGGGATTAAATTGGGTCTGGGCACCTCCCTGGTGTTTCTCACCTGTGAGTAGATTAAATTTGGGTTAAATTTGTGTTAAATTCGGATTAAATTTGGCCTGGAACCCCTCCCTGGTATTTCTTATCTGTGAGTAAATGAAATTCGGATTAAAGTGGGATTAAATTGGCATTAAATTGGGTCTTGGGCATCTCCCTGGTATTTCTCACCTATAAGCAAATGAAATTGGGATTAAATTGGGATTGAATTGGGATTGAATTGGGTCTGGGGTATTTCCCTGGTATTTCTCAGATTAAATTGGGGTTTAATTTGGATTAAACTGGGGTTAAATTAGGATTGAATTGGGAATAAATTTGGAATAAATTTTGAATTAATTGGGATTGAATTGGGATTGAATTGGGATTAAACTGGGATTAAACTGGGATTAAACTGGGATTAAACTGGGATTAAACTGGGATTAAACTGGGATTAAACTGGGCATGGGCAACTCCCTGGTATTTCTTATCTGTGAGCAAATGAAATTTGGATTAAATTGGGATTAAATTGGGCCTGGGGTACTTCTCACCTCTAAGTAGATTAAATTTGATTGAATTGGGATTGAATTTGGATTATATTGGGCCTGGGGCTTCTCCCTGGTATTTCTCTCCTGTGAGTAAACTAAATTTGGATTAAATTTGGATTAAATTTGGGTTAAATTGAGATTAATTTGGGATTAAATTTGGTCTGGGGCACCTCCATGGTATTTCTCACCTGTGAGCAAATGAAATTGGGGTTAAATTTGGATTAATTTGGGCCTGGGGCACCTCCCTGGTATTTCCTATCTGTGAGTAAATGAAATTTGGATTAATTTGGGCCTGGGGCACCTCCCTGGTATTTCCTATCTGTGAGTAAATGAAATTTGGATTAATTTGGGCCTGGGGCACCTCCCTGGTGTTTCTCATCTCCTCATCTGTGCAGATGACACAAAGCCTCCCCTGCAGGGTGGGGGTGGGAGGGAGACACCCCCAGCCTGTGCAGCTGCAGGGATGCAGTGACAAAACTACCCTTTGTGTCCTTAAAAAGGAAAAAAGCCACGAGTTCCTCTCCTCAGCTGGTAAAAATACACCTCCCAGGACCTGGGGAATTCACCCCAAACTGAAGGACAGCCAGCTGGACAGGGGCCTGAGCAATTCACTACAAAAACAGGAGAACAAAGGAAATAATCCCTTTTGTGGGAGGTTTCACCAGGAGCAAGGACCTCTTGCAGCTGGCTCAGTTTTGTTAATTTGCCTTTTACTGAAACTTTTCTGTTTCCAGCACCACCGCAGAAGCCATCCTGCTGATTTTCTGTTTGGTTTCCAACACCACCACAGAAGCCATCCTGCTGATTTTCTGTTTTCTGAGGTGGCTGAGCTGTCTTGGCTGTGAAATAAATCCCAAAGAGCTTATAAAACCTGGCTCAGAGACCTTTATTTCATGGGGCCCCTCCCATCCCCCTGAAGCCCAGGGCAGCTGGGATGGGAGCTGCAGAAAGCTGGCCTGGAGGGACGTGTCAGACAGACAGACAGACAGACAGAGGTGGAGTGAGATGGCTTTAAAGTCCTGCCCAACCCCAGTCATTCTGTGATCAATCAGTGCATGAATTTGATCACAACAGGGCTGGGCTTTTTGATTGATTAAATTGGAAATTGATCAAAAATGTGCTGGGCCAACTGCTGAGGTCTGCAGGGACAGGACAGGACGGGGACAAGGACAGGGACAGGGACAGGACAGGGACAGGACAGGGACAGGGACAGGGACAGGGGACAGAAAAGCTCCCTGGTTACCTCTGCAATCTCCTGGGGCACACAATCTGCACAGCTCTGCAGCACTTTGATGATCTTCTGGTGGTGGGCAGGATTTTCAGCAAAGCAGATCTCCAGCTGCCTGAGGAACTTCCTGCTCTTCTCAAAGGCCTGCTGCTCCTCAAACTGCCCAAAAGAAAAAGATTCAAGCATGTTAAAGAAAGAAAAAGATTCAAGTATATTCCCAAGCATCTGGAATTGACTTCAACAAATCAAATTCCTGTCCTGGCCTTTGTTTTCCATTGTGTTGATGCCCTTCACAAAACTGGGGAGAGGCAGAGAAACACCACTTTGTATAATTAACATTTATAAAGTCTGGCTTTGCTCATAAAACAGGGAAATTCAGGAGGAATGGGAGAGATGAAACCTCCATCCTGCAGAATTCAGGAGGAATGGGAGGGGTGACACCTCCATCCTCCAAAATTCAGGAAAAATTGAAGAGGTGACACCTCCACCCTGCAGAATGGAAGAGGTGAAACCTCAATCCTGCAAAATTCAGGAAAAATTGAAGAGGTGAAAGCTCTGTCCTGCAAAATTCAGGAGAAATGGGAGAGGTGAAACCTGAAAAATTCAACAGGAATGGAAGAGGTGAAAGCTCCATCCTCCAGAATTCAGGAAGAATGGAGGAGGTGAAACCTCCATCCTGCAAAACTCAGGAGGGATGAAAGCAGTGAAACCTGAAAAATTCAGGAGGAATGGAAGAGGTGAAAGCTCCATCCTGCAAAATTCAGGAAGACTTGAGGAGGTGAAAGCTCCATCCTGCAAAACTCAGGAGGAATGGAAGAGATGAAAACTCCATCCTCCAAAATTCAGGAGGAATGAAGAAGTGAAACCTGCAGAATTCAGGAATGGAGAGGTGAAACCTGCAGAATTCAGGAATGGAGAGGTGAAACGTGCAGAATTCAGGAATGGAGAGGTGAAACCTGCAGAATTCAGGAGGAATGGAGAGGTGAAATGTGCAGAATTCAGGAATGGAGAGGTGAAACGTGCAGAATTCAGGAATGGAGAGGTGAAACGTGCAGAATTCAGGAATGGAGAGGTGAAACCTGCAGAATTCAGGAGGAATGAAGAAGTGAAACGTGCAGAATTCAGGAATGGAGAGGTGAAACCTGCAGAATTCAGGAATGGAGAGGTGAAACGTGCAGAATTCAGGAATGGAGAGGTGAAACGTGCAGAATTCAGGAATGCAGAGGTGAAACGTGCAGAATTCAGGAGGAATGCAGAGGTGAAACGTGCAGAATTCAGGAATGCAGAGGGGACAGCTCCATCCTGCCCACTGGAATGCAGATCTGGAGCCAGGGATCCAGTGCCTGTTTTAGCTGCTGTTGTCTCTGCAGCCAAGTGGCAAAGGCTGATCCTCCACAGCCACACCCAGCAGCAGATGTACAAACACCACCAAATTCTCATTCTGATCACAAAAGCAGCAAGGCAAAATTGATAATTTTGCTGCTTTTCTTGCCCTGGGAAGAACTCATCCTTCCACCCACAAAAACTTTAATGTCACTTCAAATCTCGCTCCACCTACCAGGCCACACTCCAAAGCTTGCTCTGGCAGAAGAAAAGCTGCAAAGTCTGTCAGCAGCTGTGGCCAGTCGTGCAGCAGCTTCTGCAGGGTGCAGTAGAGATCCACCGCCGTCCGTCTGTCCGTGCTCACCTCGAACTCGTAGATGACACGAAGGAAATCCTCGTATTTCCCTGGGATGTGCTGCAGGGTCTCACGGACCTGGGCCATGTTTTGGTTCAGGATAGATTTAGGAGAGAATTTTTTAAGGTTGCAAAGGCTGATCCTCCACAGCCACACCCAGCAGCAGATGTACAAACACCACCAAATTCTCATTCTGATCACAAAAGCAGCAAGGCAAAATTGATAATTTTGCTGCTTTTCTTGCCCTGGGAAGAACTCATCCTTCTACCCACAAAAACTTTAATGTCACTTCAAATCTCGCTCCACCTACCAGGCCACACTCCAAAGCTTGCTCTGGCAGAAGAAAAGCTGCAAAGTCTGTCAGCAGCTGTGGCCAGTCGTGCAGCAGCTTCTGCAGGGTGCAGTAGAGATCCACAGCCGTCCGTCTGTCCGTGCTCACCTCGAACTCGTAGATGACACGAAGGAAATCCTCGTATTTCCCTGGGATGTGCTGCAGGGTCTCACGGACCTGGGCCATGTTTTGGTTCAGGATAGATTTGGGAGAGAATTTTTTAAGTTGTTTTTTTTAGAAAAGTAGATTTAATTGTTTTTTTTTAACCACCTGGGATGTGCTGCAGGGTCTCACGGACCTGGGCCATGTTTTGGTTCAGGATAGATTTAGGAGAGAATTTTTTAAGTTTTTTTTTTTTAGAAAAGTAGATTTAATTGGTTTTTTTTAACCAGTCCGGGAGAATTTTTTATTTTTTTTTTTTGGAGAAAAGCAGAAAAAATTTGTTTATTAAACAATAAAACTTTTTGTTGTTCTAAAAGAGATGACAAACTCAGAAAAAGTTCCCTCCCTGGGTTACAGCTTGGTTTATTTAAGTTTTTATGAGTTGTTTAGTGTTGGAAATGCTGTGGGGTTACAGGTGAGAGTTGTTGGTGTTTTTATGGTGTTTAGTTTAGAGTAGGTTTGAATAGATTTAAGAAAAAAGAAAAAAATTATAGTTAAGGGAACTTTTAGATAGTTAAAACTTCTTCAGTTAGTTAAATCTAATTACAAGTAAAGGAGAGCTTTTTTTGTTGTTTATTTGCAAACAACAACAGTTTAGGAGTAGCAATGTGGAGGAGTGAGTGCAGTGCCTGAAAACAAACTGTGCTTTTTATTTTTTCTTTTACTTTTTGGAGTAAGTTTTAAAGGTGTAAAGCTTATTATTTAGCATAAATAGAACAAGAACAACTGGGGATAAAAGTATTGTATAGTTAATTTAGGATATTGGACAGCAGGTGACACCCAGAGGAGAAAGAAGCTGATCACAGAGTGTTTGTGCTGGAAGGGATCTTAAAAATCAGCTCATTCCAAGCTTTTTTGGGCACTTTTCACCATCCCAGGCTGCTCCAAGCTCTGTCCAGCCTCACCTTGGGCAGCCACAGCTGCTCTGAGCACTCCCAGGGAGGAATTTCTCCCTAAATCCTTTTAATCCACTAATCTTTGATCTCCTCTACTCAGAATTTACACAGCATTTCCAGGTTTTTTTAAGCAACTGAGTGTTTTCCTGAAGATAAAGCAAAGGTGCTCAGCAGAGGAGGCAAGGTCAGAAATTTGGAAATTCAGAAATTCAGAAGGTTCTGCTGCTGTGAGCACCCCCAGCCCCTGAATCCTTCACTTCCAGCTCCCCCTCTTAGCACAGGGGAGGGAGGAGGAAGAGCAAGAGCAGGAAATCAGCAGCAATCTGCTGAAATTTAACTTTGCAGGTACAATTTTAGGGTTTGAATTAACAAAACCCTTTAGTTGGTGAGGTGCTGATTTATGAAATTGGCTGCTGGGTACAGTGAGGAATCTGCTGAAATTTAACTTTGCCGGTACAATTTTAGGGTTTGAATTAACAAAATCCTGGAATTGGGCAGGTGCTGATTTATGAAATTGGCTGCTGGGTACAGTGAGGAATCTGCTGAGATTTAATTCTGCAGGGTACAATTTTAGGGTTTGAATTCTGCTCCTTAACAAAACCCTTTAGTTGGGCAGGTGCTGATTTATGAAATTGGCTGTTGGATGCAGTAAGGAAGATGCTGAAATTTAATTTTGCAGGTACAATTTTAGGGTTTGAATTAACCAAAAATCCTTGTGTTGGGCAGGTGCTGATTTATGAAATTGGCTGCTGGGTACAGTGAGGAATCTGCTGAAATTTAACTTTGCAGGTACAATTTTAGGGTTTGAATTAACAAAACCCTTTAGTTGGGCAGGTGCTGATTTATGAAATTGGCTGCTGGGTGCAGTGAGGAAGCTGCTGAATGATATTAAACCAAACAATAAAACAAACCAATGGGATTTTTTTTGGTTCTTTCTAAGGAGACAATGGAAAAACTGACTTGGCTTGCAAGAGAGATTTAAGCCAAGAGAATTCCCAGGTAAAAAACTCTGAGGAAGAGCTGCTCTCCTCCTCTTCACCTCGAGACACCTTGGGAAGTGAAGCACCTCAGCCCCAGCATTTCTGTGCACAAAACCCCAGATTTTGCTCTTGCTGGGTGCCTTACCCTGGTGAGGTAGGCCTGGGCAAAGGCCAGGTCCTTCTGCTCCCTCAGGGGATCCCTCTCCAGGATGTCCTCGTCGTAGAGCAGCAGCAGCTTGGAGCTGTCCTTGCTGCCTCGAGCTCTGCCCCTCTTGTTCCTGGTCCTGTGCGAGCTCCTGCTCCTCCCCGGGGCCTTCAGGGCCTCTCCTGTGGAGGAACACCAGGTCAGCTGCTGGCAGAGCCTCTGCCCCAGCTGCAATTGGAGCAGGATTTATGGAAAATGGAAATTATGCAAAATTCCCAACGGTCAGTGGTGAGTTCCTGTCACTGCCCATGGGTCAAGCTGGAAAAAATCCTAATTTTGCTGCTTGTTTTCACAGTATCTGACTGAAAATAATCTCTGGATACAGGCACAGGTCGATCCCAGGTTTTTCTGGAAGTAAAAAAATCCTGCCCATCAGGGCAGCACAGCCAGGAGGGGACAGAGACCCTGCCAATTCAGATAATTATTCTCATAATAGTTCAAATCATAGATAAACACCTGGTGTCACACGACAGGGAGTTAAATAGGGCACTAAGAGGGGCTACATCCAGATTTCTGTGGCTTTATTTAGGAATCTGTTGATTTAATGGGCTCAAAAGTCACTGCTCAAGCTCATTTAGCACTTGGGTTTTGTTTCATTTCCTTTTCTCCACCATGATCTTGTCAGCCAAAATTCAACTTAGCAAAGGTTTGATTATTTAATATTGTTCTTCTAAAATGATCAGGTATTAGCTGGCACAAACCATAAATGTGTCTGCAGGAGAGCTGTGCCTGGGTCCTAAAATTGTATTTCCAGCTGGAAAACACCACAAACATCCAGGGAATTAAACCCAGACAGGATCCCAGGTTTCCCTGCAGAGAGCAGCTCTACATCCCCACAACCTGTGTCCACAAAAACCCCAAAGAACTCACCTGGTGTCCAAAAGAAACCCCAAAAATTCACCTGGTGTCCAAAAGAAACCCCAAAAATTCACCTGGTGTCCAAAAGAAACCCCAAAAATTCACCTGGTGTCCAAAAACAACCCCAAAAATTCACCTGGTGTCCAGAAGAAACCCCAAAACAAAACAAAGAACTCACCTGCTGGCATCCAAAAACCCTAAAGAACTCACCTGCTGTCCATAAAAACCCCAAAAAAGCAATTCCATGACTTACTGTTTTTTCAATTCCCACCCTTTCCAAAATCCCAAATTTGTCCCATTAAACTGAGAACTAAACCAAAACACTCACCTGCTGGCACCCAAAAAAGAAAAACCAAAACAAAGAACTCACCTGGTGTCCAAAAAAAACCCAAAACCCCAAAGAACTTACCTGCTATCCAAAAAAAAACCCAAAAAATTCACCTGCAGTCCAAAAAAACCCATAGCACTCACCTGGTGTCCAAAAAAGTAATTCCATGACTTATTGTTTTTTTAATTCCCACCCTTTCCAAAATTCCAAGATTTATCCCATTAAACTGAGAACTAAATCACAAAAACTCACCTGCTGGCATCCAAAAACCCCAAAACAAAAGCAAGAACTCACCTGCTGTCCAAAAACCCCAAAGAACTCACTTGCAATCCACAAAAACCCCAAAAAATTCACCTGCTGTCCAAAAACCCAAAGAACTCAACTGCTGGCATCCAAAAAAGCCCAAAGAACTCAGCTGGTGTCCAAAAATAACCCCAAAGAATTTAACTGCTGTCCAAAAATAACCCCAAGAACTCACCTGGTGCCCAAAACTCACCTGGTGTCCAAAAATAACCCCAAAACTCCCCTGGTGCCCAAAAATAACCCCAAAAACTCACCTGCAATCCAAAAATAACCCCAAAAAATCACCTGGTGCCCAAAAATAACCCCAGAACTCACCTGGTGCCCAAAAATAACCCAAATATCTCACCTGGTGCCCAAAAATAACCCCAAAACTCACCTGGTGTCCAAAAATAACCCCAAAGAATTTAACTGCTGTCCAAAAAGAACCCAAATAACTCCCCTGGTGCCCAAAAATAACCCCAAGAACTCCCCTGGTGCCCAAAAAGAACCCCAAAACTCCCCTGGTGCCCAAAAAGAACCCCAAAGAATTTAACTGCTGTCCAAAAAGAACCCCAAAACTCCCCTGGTGCCCAAAAAGAACCCCAAAGAATTTAACTGCTGTCCAAAGAGAACCCCAAGCTCACCTGGGGGCAGCCTGTGGGCCTCCAGCTGGGGGGAGGCTGCCTGGGCCATGGGGAAAGCAGATTTGGGCTCCTCTGAAGCATCTCCACACATTTCATCCTCCTTCTGGGAGCTCTCTACTCCTTCCCCTTCCTCCTCCTCCTCCTCCTCAGGCTCTGAGTTCTCCTCCTGGGAATTCTCCTCTTCAGAGTCTCCTTCTTGGCTCAAACGTCTCTCTGTTGCAAGCCAAGTCAGTTTTTCCATTGTCTCCTTAGAAAGAACCCCAAAAATCACATTATTTTATTTTATTTTACTTTATTTTATATTATTTTACTTTATTTATTTTATTTAATTTGTTTTTTAAATTTTATTTTACTCTATTTTACTTTATTCATTTTATTTTTTATTTTATCTTATTTATTTTATTTATTTTATTTTTTTAATTTTATTTTATTTATTCATTTAATTCATTTAATTTCATTTTCTTGTTTGGTTTAATATCATCCAGCAGCTTGCTCACCCGGGGGCAGCCTGTGGGCCTCCAGCTGGGGGGAGGCTGCCTGGGCCATGGGGAAAGCAGCTTTGGGCTCCTCTGAAGCATCTCCACACATTTCATCCTCCTTCTGGGAGCTCTCTACTCCTTCCCCTTCCGCCTCCTCCTGCTCCTCACGCTCTGAGTTCTCCTCCTGGGAATTCTCCTCTTCAGAGTCTCCTTCTTGGCTCAAACGTCTCTCTGTTGCAAGCCAAGTCAGTTTTTCCATTGTCTCCTTAGAAAGAACCCCAAAAATCACATTATTTTATTTTATTTTACTTTATTTTATATTATTTTACTTTATTTATTTTATTTAATTTGTTTTTTAAATTTTATTTTACTCTATTTTACTTTATTCATTTTATTTTTTTTATTTTATTTATTTTATTTTTTAAAATTTATTTTATTTATTTTATTCATTTAATTTCATTTTCTTGTTTGGTTTAATATCATCCAGCAACTTCCTCACTGCATCCAACAGCCACTTTCATAAATCAGCACCTGCCCAATTCAAGGAATTTGTTAAGGAACAGAATTCAAACCTTTCCACAGCTGCCTAAAATTGTAAAATTAAATTTCAGCATCTGCCATTCAGCAAATTAAGCCTTAATTTAGAAGGGATTCATTAATGATTCCTTAATGATCATCTCAGCTCTTAAATTGCTGGAATTGTGACCTGCAAAGTCATTTTTACTTGAAATAATTCTTAGAGAGCAGCCTCACTGAGGAGTCCTTAAATTCATCAGAGTTGAAATCTGCATTAGGCCTTAATTTGGAAGGGATTAATTAATGATTCCTTAATGATTATCTCAGCTCTTGAAGGCCTGCTGGAATTGTGACTTTTTCTTGAAATCATTCTCAGAAAGCAGCCTCACTGAGGAGTCCTTGCAGAGTTTAACCAAGTCATTATTTGCAATAATTTGCAATAATTTGCAATTCCCTTAGCCTGGGTTTAAAACATGCTCAGGAAAAATGTGGTTTTCAATTTCTCTGTGAGCAGAACAATGGCAGCCCACCTTCCCAGGGGGTTCCAGGGGGTTCCAGGGGGTTCCAGGGGATTCCAGGGGGTTCCCTGGGGGATTCCCTGGGGGATGCCCAGAAGAATTCCCTGGGGAATTTCCAGGGCATTCCCTGGGGGGCTCCCAGGGGGTCCCTGACTCCACAGGCTGTTTCAGGACCCCCACAGCTTTTTAAATTCAACTTTTCTCTTTACCTGCAGCTCTGGCACTGACAGAATGGACTCTTCTGAAGCTGACGACATTTCCTCGTCCTCATCCTGCGTGAAATCATCGAAGTCATCCTCCTCCTCCTCCTCCTGGCCCTCCCTGTCCGCGGCAGCCTCGGGGCCAGGGGTGCCCACGGAGTGCCCATCAATGCTGGACGAGTCCTCCGGCCTGCCCGGGGGGCTGCTGAACTCTGCCTCCCTCTCAGCTGGGTAAGGGAGGGTTTTTGGGGACTCGCCCTGGGGAGGGGAGGGCACAGCCTGCTGCTCCTCCTCTCCCTTCTCCTCACAGAGCTCCTGCTTGGGCTCATCCCCGCAGGAACAAGCAGCCTCCATGTTCAGCTCCTGGCCGAGGCCCAGCATGAACTCCTCCTTGCTTTCAGCACATAGAAGATCTCTTTGCTGTGCCAGGTTGGCTTCTTTGGGAGCATCACTTAAATCTTCAGACTTGATTTCCACCGATTCATCAGGATCTTCTAAGGGAGGCAAAAGCTCCACCACAGGCAAGGGCTCTGCTGTGCTGCCATCTCCCTCTGCCACTGCCCAGCTGCAGCAGTCACCCTCGCTGCCCTTGTCCTGAGTGTCCCCAAGGGCAGGGTTTGTGCCACGCTCCTCCTTTGGGGACAGGGAGCAGGGCACGAAGAGCTCCGGGGGCTCCACCTTGGGCTCCACCTTGGGGAAAGCACCCGGGGCAGGGAGCAGGCTCAGCTGCTCCTCCCCTTCACCCCCAGCAGGAGCAGCCAGACCAACAGGGCTGGGCGACACAATCAGGGACGGGATGGAGGAGGTCACCAGGGGCTGGTTCAGGGGGCACGGGAAGCTGGAGGGGTTCACCAGCAGGGTGGTGACAGGGATGGCCTGAGCCCCGCGGCCCACGGCCGTGCTCAGGGGCTGGATCATGTTGCAGCCATTGCCAATGTTCAGCACCTTCACCGTGGTGGCAGGCACGGTCAGGATGACGGGGGAGGACTGGATCAGAGGGGAAGGTTTCACCACTGGGGCAGATCTTGTCCCTTTTTTCCTCTGGTGGCCCTTACGCACGCCCGGCTTGCGCGTTTTCATCCCGGCCACGGTGGGCACCATCAGCTTGGGCTGGAACGCCACCTGCTCTGAGGACACCAGAGCCGGGCCTACAGCAGCTGAAAAGGCTTGTCTGGAGCTCGGCTGGCCGGTGGAAAGAACATTCTGGAAGTCCAAGGCATCGCCAGGTGCCAGCAGTGCTGGGAGGCTGAGGGGCGGCGGCGCGGGCTTGATGGGCCGAGGCGCGCGGAGCCGGAGCCGGCTGGGCACAGCCTCTGCCTGGGACAGCTTCTGGGCCTTGGGGACACTCAGGGGGCTGCAGCTGGGCTGCACACACGGGCTGGGACGGATCACCACTGGCTTCAGAGCTGAACACCTCTGCCTCCTCCAGGGCCTCCTGGAGAAGCGGTTGCCCAAAGGTTTCAGGGTGAGCACGAGCCCCTTGGGCACCAGCAGAGGGCATTTGTCACCACCTGCCCTGCCTGGAATTTCCTTTTCTGGCCCCAAAAGGGCAGATTCTCCATCAGCTGAAGCTGCTGTCTCCTTGGCATCTTCTGCCAGCTGCTTCAGCTCTTCCTGGATGGAGGGCAAGCTTGCCTGAAGGGAGCGAGAATTCATTATTGGAATTTATTATTTATTACAGGTTATCTCTGTATTCCCACCTTCACACAGCAGCACTGAAGCTCTTCCACTGAAGGTGGAAGAGCTCCTTCCACCTGCTTCTTTCTTCTAACTTCTTCGAGCAGGTTTTATTTCCTTTAACTACTGCATGATACTTAATAGCACTTCAAATTCCTGAGCTGCACTGCAAAGCTTTTAGAAGACTCTGAGATCCTGAGAAAAAGGTTTTTTTGTATTCTTTATAAAGGTTGGTTTAGCGGACACAAGATTTTGTGGGAAGGAAAGTTCCCTGTGTAACAGGGGGTGATCCAGAGAAATGGATTTTATGGCATTTGAGTTGTTCCCTTGGGCACAGTCCTGCCTGACTCATAGGAATGATGTCTGTGCCTCCCAGAAAAATCCACACAAAAAGGAGATCCCCAAGGGAAAAAATCCCCACAAAACCAAATAAAACCCCCCAAAAACGAACCAAACACCACCAACCCCCCAGGGCTGGGTGCAGAGCAGCAGAAAACACCTTGAGCCAGAAGGGCAGGCGATGCTCCTCCCTCTCCACAGGAGCTTTCCACTCGTGGGGCTGGATCTCCTCACAGCACTTCACCAGCACCGGCAGCTGCTTGGTCTTTTTGTAGAACTGTGGGGACAGCAGGCAGGGCCACACCAGGTCACTGTGCTCAGGGCACCTCCTGGGGTGAGGGACTGGCCTCTCTCCAGGTGTTCATGCCAATAAAACAATCCTTTAATAAGTTCTACCCCCAGGAACATTAAAAATCAATAACCAAGGCTGAACAGGAGCTCGCTGCCACCCTGGCTGCTCTCACACAGGTTCAGGCAGCTTTTTCAGCTCCGTTTTTTCTGGTGCTGTTTTATGCAGCTGTTGTTCTATGCAGGTGTTCTATCTGGTTTTGTTTTGTGCAGGTGTTGTTTTGTCTGATTTTAGCTGGTTTTGTTTTGTGCAGGTGTTGTTTAATCTGATTTGATCTGGTTTTGTTTTGTGCAGGTGTTGTTTTACCTGATTTGATCTGGTTTTGTTTTGTGCAGGTGTTGCTTTACCTGGTTTTATCTGGTTTTGTTTTGTGCAGGTGTTGTTTTGTCTGATTTTAGCTGGTTTTGTTTTATGCAGCTGTTGTTCTATGCAGGTGTTGTTTAATGCAGGTGTTGTTTTAACTGGTTTTGTTTTGTGCAGATGTTGTCTTATCTGGTTTTATCTGGTTTTGTTTTGTGCAGGTGTTGTTTTATCTGGTTTTGCTCCCAGTAGTTTATGGGACAGGGTCACTGCCCAGCTGGCTGCAAACATTTTTGTTTCAATTTTGCTACTCAAAAGCTGACTTGAATTAATTTTTATCAGGATCACTGAGTTTTACCAGGACTATCTGTGCTCTAAAGAGTCAAATCAGTATCTAAATACTTGTTTTGCTGGCTGCAAACAGAACTTTTGTTTAAATTTCACTACTCAAAAGCTGACTTGGATGAATTTTTAATCAGAATCATTGAGTTTTACCTGGATTCTAAAGAGTCAAATCAGTATCTAAATACTGCTTTGCTGGCTGCAAACAACAGTTTTGTTTATATTTCACTACTCAAAAGCTCACTTGGATAAATTTCTACCAGGATCACTGAGTTTTACCTGGATTCTAAAGAGTCAAATCAGTATCTAAATACTACTTTGCTGGCTGCAAACAGAACTTTTGTTTCAATTTCACTACTCAAAAGCTGATTTGGATGAACTTTTATCAGGACTATCTGGACTCTAAGGAGCCAAATCAGTATCTAAATACTGGTTTTGCTGGCTGCAAACAGAACTTTTGTTTAAATTTTGCTACTCAACAGCTGACTTGGATAAATTTTTATCAGGATCACTGAGTTTTACCAGGGCTCTAAGGAACCAAATCAGTATCTGAACACCTCCCAAGTCCTTTTATAAAGACAAATAAAAGGCTGAATCCTGCCTGCTACCAAAAGATGCCATTTAATCTGAAATACAAGAGCACCCTTACCCTGATGATGTTGTCAGGGGCTCTGTTCATGGTCAGGTTCTTGATCCTCACTGTCAGCTGATGGGCAGTTTTGGTGGGCAGCAGGTATTTGCTGATCAAAGGCTTGGGAAAGTCTGTCCCTTCAAAATGTTTCAGCCCCAAAGCCAACAAGCTGGAGAGGGGAAAAAGGGAGGGGAGGAGATGAGAAACCTCTCAGGGAGCTGCTGCACCCCAGAAATTCTCATTAACACCCCGATTTCCACCCGTTTTGGGCAGTAATTAAAACACCTACTTGTCCTCTGCCTTGGTGAAGACAATCTTGTCTCGGGGGGGGTTTGCTCTCAAGGCACAGACTGGCAGCAGCTCTGGGTACATGAAAACTTTCCTGGTTGCCAAAATCCAGGCCACTTGCTTTGGCAAACAGGAGAAATCATTTGCTGTGGGAAGAATTAACAGGGAGGGACAGGTGGGTGTGTGCAGGAAGGTTTTTCACAGCTCACTTTTTAAAAACAGTTTATTTTAACTGCAAAAATAAGACTTTCTTCCTGTTCTTAGAATGTGCACATTTCCTAGTTTACACCAGCAAAATGGAAAATTATTTTCTCCTTCCATCTTTTCTTTTGCTCTGTAGCAAGACACGAGCCCAGGAGGGACTTTTAGTGTATTGTAATTAGGAAATAATTAGCTTCTGATTGCAATGGCAGGAAATAAAACCAGTGTGTGTATATATATACACAAAATACATTTTAATGTATAATATATATTATATATATAGTAAGTGATATATAATATATATCATATAGTATACATTATAATATTATATATTTTTTAATAGATATATATTTATATATATAAAATAACCTGTGAGACCTGTATTATCTCACCCTTCACGTGAGACTGAAAATAGAATAAAAGTTCTTTAAAACACCCCTGAACTCCCATTTCTGGGTCAGAAAAGGGCATAATCCACCCTGTCCCTGTGGGAAATGGATTTCTAGGAAATTGGTGTGGCTAAAGCTGAAGCTGACAGGCCAAGAAACACTTTTAGCATATTGTAATTAGGAAATAATTAGCTTCTGATTGCAATGGCAGGAAATAAAACCAGTGTGTGTATATATATACACAAAATACATTTTAATGTATAATATATATTATATATATAGTAAGTGATATATAATATATATTATATCATATAGTATACATTATAATATTATATATTTTTAATATATATATTTACATATATAAAATAACCTGTGAGACCTGTATTATCTCACCCTTCACGTGAGACTGAAAATAGAATAAAAGTTCTTTAAAACACCCCTGAACTCCCATTTCTGGGTCAGAAAAGGGCATAATCCACCCTGTCCCTGTGGGAAATGGATTTCTAGGAAATTGGTGTGGCTAGAGCTGATATACAATTTAGTACATTGTAATTAGGAAATCATTAGATTCTGATTGTAATGGCAGGAATTATAACCTGTATAAAAATGGATTTCTAGGAAATTGGTGTGGCTAAAGCTGAAGCTGACAGGCCAAGAAACACTTTTAGCATATTGTAATTAGGAAATAATTAGCTTCTGATTGCAATGGCAGGAATTATTACCTGCATATAGATATAGATAGATAGATAGATAGATAGATAGATATGTATACATATAGATAGAAAAATAGAGAAATATAAAGCATAAATTATATTATATATAATAATATCTATAATATACAATATATAATATACCATATACAATATATAATATATAACATATAATATATATAATATATATTATATATAATACATTATAATTATATATAATATATATATATATATAAAAAATATAGAATACATGATAACACATACTAAATTATAAATTCTAATATATAATGGGTTATATATTATATATGATATACATAATACTTGATAGATAATATATATTATATTATATATCTATTATAGCTATTATATATTATAATCTACATTATATGTTATATATATCATATATTATCTATTGAACCTTATAATGTATTATATATATTTATTATAACCTGTGAGAGCTGTATTGTCTCACCCTTCACATGAGACTGCAAACAGAATAAAAGTTCTTTAAAACACCCCATTTCTGGGTCAGAAAAGGCCACCATGCAGCCTGTCCCCTCCCTTACCATTCTTCACAGCCTTCCTAGGGCTGCAGTCCACGGGCACCTGGGCATGGAAATCCTCCAGGAGCTGCAGGGCCTCCTGCAAGTTGCAGGGCTGGAACATGGTCTGGAATTTGGGGTTCTGGGACACCTGGTGCAGGGTGGAGCTGCAGGCAAAGCTCCCCAGCTCGCTCTGCCAAGGCAGAGACACAGCAGGGGTGGTGCAAAAAATCCCATTAGAAATCCTCCCCTGGGGCATCCCAAAGCCAGGCACTGCCACGGGGGCTCAGAGAACTGTGCCTCTCCATCCCTGGAATCCTGCTTTCCTCCCTCAATTTACATCAGCAAAAGGCAAAACTCTTTTCCCTTTTCATCCTTTCCCCTTCCATCTTCTCCCTTCTCATCCTTTCCCCTTCCATCTTTTCCTTTTCAATCTTTTCCCCTTTCTATAGTTTTCCTTCCCATCTTTTCCCCTTCCCATCTTCTCCCTTTCCATCTTCTCCCCTTCCCATTTTCTCCTTTTCCATCTTTTCCCCTTCCCATCTTTTCCCCTTTCCATCCTTTCCCCTTCCATCTTTTCCTTTTCAATCTTTTCCCCTTTCCATATTTTCCCCTTCCCATCTTCTTTTCCATTTTTCCCCGGGACACTGGAACTATTTAATTATTGGAATTCAGTGGAAATTAGAGGGATTATTGAATTATTTAATTAGTGCAAGGTGTCCCTGGTGTTTCACTCAGGTGGAACTGAGTGAGCTTTAAGGTCCCTCCCCACCCAAACCATTCTATCATTCCATAATTTTATTTTATTTTTCACTTCCCAGAATTCCAGAATTTCCCTTTCCAGAATTCCAATATTTCTCCCATTAAACCCATTATCCATCCCAATATTTCTCCCATTAAACTGAAAATTAAGGTTCCTCTCTAGAACTTTAGTCCTCAGTTTAATGGGATAAATAAAATAATTAATCTAAGTAAATAAATGATAAATAAATTATTCTTTCTCAGTTTGCCCAGACCAACATTTACCCCACTAAACCCATTATTCATTCCAATATTTATCACATTAAACTGAAAATTAAGTTTCCTTTCCAGAACTTTAGTTCTCAGTTTAATGGGATAAATAATTAATCTAAGTAAATAAACAATAAATAAATTAATAACTTCTCAGTTTGCCCAGGCCAATATTTATCCCCTTAAACTCATTATCCATTCCAATATTTATCCCATTAAACTGAAAATTAAGGCTCTTTTCAGGACTTTATTTCTCAGTTTAATGGGATAAATAAAATAATTCATTTTTCAAAGTAAATAAATGATAAATAAATTAATCTTTCTGTGTTTGCCCAAGGACCAGCAATAATTTGAATTTATGGCTGTGTGATTTTGGGCATTCCTTACCAAAAACATCTGGGTGGTGCTGGCCTCTGAACTCAGAGCAGGGTTGAAACTTGCCAGGAGATGGATTTGAGTCAGGAGCTGGACATGCTTGAGGAATAAAATCAGAGAAATTTGGGGTTTTTTCTCAGTTTATCACAAATCCAAGGAAATGGAAAGCACAAGTCCAAAGGCACAAGAAATATCTCCTGAGCAAAAAATCTTAAAAGCAACAGAAAACTGAGGGGAAACTTTAATATCCACGGCAGAAAGTTCATTACACAAATTTTGAAGACATCAGCTGTTGAAATCCTTGGGCAGTTCTTCACCTTTTGTGCCAAATTCATCATGACCAACACAGAAATTAATTTTTCCTACATAAATACATAATTATTTCTTTAGCAACAATGATTTCACCTCTGAGATTTCTGTATTTCTACACAGTTTCATGTGGTGGCAGGAAGAAAAAAAAGAATTCAAGCTAGATGAAGAATAATATCCTTAGACAGCAATAAAATTGGTGAAAATAGGATTTTACAGCCTAAACCATTGATTACCTGCTGCATTTGCTGCTGGAGCCTCTTCCTTTGTGCACTGTCCAGAACAAGGCTCTGCAGGGGTTTCTCACTTTGGGATTTGGATTTTTCAGCCTCTTGGGGTGCTTTGATTGAAGATTTTTTTATTCTCAGCTGCTCCAGCTGCTCCTTCACTGTCTGGTGCTGCTTGTTCAGCATATTGGCCAGAGGCTCCTCAAATCTGTTGGAAAATGGAATACAAATGTGATACAAAACAAAAAAATACAAAAATTTAATAAATCTCTGGTTTAATAACATTTGTTTAGAACATTCATGTTCTAAATACATTCATGTTCATGTTTATTTAGAAGATTTTTATTTATTTAGAACTTTTTTTTATTTATTTAGGACACTTTTTATTTAGAACACAGTTTATTTATTTAATTTTTATTTATTTAGAATATTGTTTCTTTATTTTACTCTCTGTCTGGTTTGCACAGTTTGGTTTTGCCATCCCTGTATTACTCAACAATAACTCCAGCTGGAAGGTCTCCAGAAAGACCACACACTGCCTCAAATCCTGCTACTTTTATTCATTTTTTGATAAAGTATCTTAAAATATTAAACAATTTAAAATATTTAAGTATTTGAATATTTAATTATAATTTATATTATTAAATATTTTAATATTTAATTATAATTTCAATATTGAATTATTTTTAATATTTATTCTCCAGCCTTATGCTGAGAACTTTACCAGAGATCCTACAGGAACAGCTACTCCTGTAGCAGAAGGAGTTCATTATTATTATTTTTTTTATTTTAGCTATACCAGTTAATCTGATTTCTGCTGGTGATCAGCTTCCCTTCTGTAACAGGCCTGTGGCTACTTTATTCAAAAATTAATTAATTATCACCCAGTCCTGTGCTGAGAACTCCACCAGAGATCCTACAGTAGGAGCAGAAGGAATTATTTCATTATTATTCATTATTTTTAGTTATACTAGTTAATCTGATTTCTGCTGGTAATCAGCTGTTCCAGGCCTGAGTCTAATTTATTAAAAAATTAATTAATTATTACCCAGCCTTATGCTGAGAACCTTCCAGAGATCCTACAGTAAGAGCAGAAATGATTTCATTATTTTATTTGATTTATTTTAGCTGTACCAGTTAATCTGAATTCTGCTGGTGATCAGCTTCCCTTCTGTACCAGACTTGAGGCTATTTAATTAAAAATTAATTAATTATTAACCAACCTTATGATGAGAACTTTACCAGAGATCCTACAGTAAGAGCTGCTCCTGGAGGAGTTCCATTTTTCATTATTATTCATTATTTTTTTTATTTTAGCTATACCAGTTAATCTGATTTCTGCTGGTGATCAGCTTCCCTTCTGTAACAGGCCTGTGGCTACTTTATTCAAAAATTAATTAATTATCACCCAGTCCTGTGCTGAGAACTCCACCAGAGATCCTACAGTAGGAGCAGAAGGAATTATTTCATTATTATTCATTATTTTATTTTAGTTATACTAGTTAATCTGATTTCTGCTGGTAATCAGCTGTTCCAGGCCTGAGTCTAATTTATTAAAAAATTAATTAATTATTACCCAGCCTTATGCTGAGAACCTTCCAGAGATCCTACAGTAAGAGCAGAAATGATTTCATTATTTTATTTGATTTATTTTAGCTACACCAGTTAATCTGAATTCTGCTGGCGATCAGCTTCCCTTCTGTACCAGACCTGAGGTTACCTCACTCAAAAATTGATTCATTATTACCCAGTCCTATGCTGAGAACTCTACAGAGATCCTACAGTAAGAGCTGCTCCTGTAGCAGGAGTTCATTCTTAGTCATTATTTTATTTGATTTTATTTACTTTAGCTACACCAGTTAATCTGAATTCTGCTGGTGATCAGCTTCCCTTCTGTACCAGACTTGAGGCTATTTAATTAAAAAATCAATTAATTATTACCCAACCTTATGATGAGAACTTTACCAGAGATCCTACAGTAAGAGCTGCTCCTGGAGGAGTTCCATTTTTCATTATTATTCATTATTTTGTTTATTTTAGCTGTACCAGTTAATCTGATTTCTGCTGGTGATCAGCTTCCCTTCTGTACCAACCTAGAGGTTACTTCATTCAAAAATTGATGCATTATTACCCAGTCCTATGCTGAGAACTCTACAGAGATCCTACAGTAAGAGCTGCTCCTGTAGCAAAAGGAGTTCATTATTTCATTATTATTCATTATTTATTTTAGCTACAGCAGGTAATCTCCTGAATTCTGCTGGTGATCAGCTGTAGCAGGCCTGAGGCTATTTAATTTAAAAAATTGATTCATTATTACCCAGTCCTATGCTGAGAACTCTACAGAGATCCTACAGTAAGAGCTGCTCCTGTAGCAGGAGTTTATTCCTATTCATGATTTTATTTTATTTGTTTCAGCTGTACCAGTTAATCTGATTCCTGCTGGTGATCAGCTTCCCTCCTGTACCAGCCCTGAGGATTGTTCCATGCTGCTCCTAATGCAAGGTATCATAAAACCAACAACAATTCCAGCAAATGATGATTTTTGCCTTAAAGAATCCTGTATGCAGAGAAAACCAGGGAAGAAACCACTGGGAGAAGTGACCCTCCAAAGAAAATGACTACAACCACTATTATCAAAGCCAAAAAAACGGAAATAAAGCACAAAGGTGCCTGGATTTCAGTGTGGCTGGGTTCAGAGCTGCTGCTCCCCTCTGGCACTGCTCAGCCCAGAGGGAGCTGCACAAAGCCCAGCTTTGATTTCAGCTCCTTCCCAAACAGGCTCAGCTGCACTCCAGCTGGTCTGCCCCACAAACCAGGAGCCACCTCCCACCCTGAGCTGCTCTGCAGCTGCTGAAACACACTGCAATGATTACCTGAGAGAAAACAGAATTATGGAATGGTTTGGGCTGGAGGAACCTTAAAATTCACCTTATTCCCCCCCCTGCCATGGCAGGGACACCTTCACCATCCCAGGGTCTCCAACCTGGCCTTGGACACTGCCAGGGGCAGCCCCAGCTGCTCTGGGAAATCTGGTTACATTTATTTAATCCAAAGATTGGGGAGCTCAGCAGTTTCAGATCCTCACCCCACCCCAGTTTAGGTGCAAGGGGATTTTTGGGCAATGTGCTCATGGAGCCATGGAATGGTTTGGGTTGAAACAGACCCAAAAACTCATCCAGTGCCAGGGCAGGGACACCTCCCACCATCCCTGGGTGCTCCAAACTGTCCAACACTTCCAGGGATGCAGGGGCAGTCCCAGCTGCTCTGGGAAATCTTGTTTTTATGTATTGAATCCAAAAGGAAGGTGTCCCTGACATGACAGAGGTGAAATGAGATGAGTTTTAATCTCCCTTCCAACCCAATCCATTCCATGATTATAGAGCACAGAGTCTGGGGAAGCAGGAACAGAATTCCCCCCTGCAGATGCTGCCTTTTTGGGGCACATTCACATATCTGTATTTTCAGCTGAAATAAAGAACAGCACCAACCTCAGTGCAGGCACTTTTACTCTTTCTGTCCCTTTTTTCATTGCTTTTCATTTCCAGATGCAAGCAGATTTTCAGATTACCAGCAGCAAAGCCAACAGTGGCAAACAGAATAAAAAGAATCAATTTAATTGTCCAATCCCATGAAGGAAAATGGCCCAGAGCTTTCAGAGCAGTGGCCTGAGCTGCCAGGACAGTTCTCTTGGGTGCTGCCACAGAGGTAAGCAGAGGCTTTTCCTCAGAAGAAACCAGGACACAAACAAATGCTCCTACCTGAGGGCCTGGGGGGTGTTAAAATTTGGCCGAGACTCTGTAACAGCATCTTCATCTTCTGGCCTGTCCTCTTTCATGCTGGAGAAACCCATCTCACCCTGGAACTGGCAGCAGACATGGAGCAAGTCAGGAGGAGACAGCTCAAGAAGAAATTTACCTGTGGCTAATGATGATGATGATGATCTTCCCTTCAGGAAATCCCTGCAGATCTCCAGGAAATCCCCACACATCTTCACTTCAGAAAATCCCTAGAGATCTTCACTTTAGGAAATCCCTGCAGACCTTCATTTCACAGTCCTTCACTTTAGGAAATCCCTATAAATCTTCACTGTAGGAAATCCCTACAGATCTTCAGGAAATCCCTGCAGACCCTCACTTCACAGATCTTCACTTCAGGAAATCCTTACACACCTTCACTTTAGGAAATCCCTGCAGACCTTCAGGAAATCCCTGCAGACCTTCATTTCATGGACCCTCCCTTCAGGAAATCTCTACAGACAGCTCAGGAAAACCCTACAGGGCTTCACTTTAGGAAATCCCTACAGATCTTCAGGAAATACCTACAGATCTTCATTTTATGAAATCCCTACAGATCTTCATTTTATGAAATCCCTACAGATCCTCAGGAAATCCCTGCAGACCTTAATTTCACAGACCTTCACTTCAGGAAATCCCTAGAGATCTTCACTTCAGGAAATCTCTGCAGACCTTCATTTCAGGAAATCCCTGCAGACAGCTCAGGAAAACCCTACAGAGCTTCGCTTCAGGAAATCCCTAGAGATCTTCAGGAAATCCTTACAGACCTTCACTTGAGGAAATCCCTAGAGATCTTTACTTTAGGAAATCCCTGCAGATCCTCACTTGAAGAAATCCCTGCAGACCTTCAGGAAATCCCTACAGACCTTCAGGAAATCCCTACAGACCTTCAGGAAATCCCTGCAAATCCTCACTTGAAGAAAGGCCTGCAGACCTTCAGGAAAGCCCTGCAGACCTTCAATTCAGGAAATCCCTGCAGACAGTTCAGGAAAACCCTAGAGAGCTTCACTCCAGGAAATCCCTAGAGATCTTCACTTCACAGACTCTCACTCCAGGAAATCCCTACAAATTTTCACTCCAGGAAATCCCTGCAGACCTCCTCATTTTAAGGCTAAAAATGCCCCATCTGTGGCAGAGCCCCTGGCACACCCCCAGCCCTGAGCCCCCCTCCAGGTGTCACATCTGACACCTCAGTGCCACCCTCAGTTCATCACTCACTGTCTCAAACAGCTCCTCCATCAGCTCAGTCACTTCCTTTTCTGCAAGTAAAATGAAAAAGGATTATGAAGATGCCTTTTCCAAGAAACACTCAGCAATCCTGTCACAACACCAACTCAATGAAGGGATTTCTCTCACAAAGGGAAATCCTCCTCCTGCAAACAGGGGACCAAAAAAGAAAGGCCCCTGATAATTCCTTTTGGTAATGCTGGGCCCAAAAATAACTTGAGCTGAGATTGTCTGGATTCTAAAATATCACATAAAAACTCGTTTTCATGATTAAATTTAAAGTTATGTAAATCTGCAGTGAGACCTAAAGGAAGCGTGGCTTTTTGCAGAGACAGAAAGTGATATGTTTATAAAACTAAGCTGTGAGGACTTCAGCATCTAATTAAATCCAATCACAAGGCAAGCATTCGAGTCTGGAGTGCCTGAAGCTTTCAGAAGGTGACACACTTGGACAAAGCAGCTCCCCAAGCATCTCCTGCCATCAAAACAATGTCAGGGCAGCAAGAGACCCTTGCCACAAAAAGAAAATTGAATTTTTCTGCCATGATGTTGCATCCTCCAGCCACCAGCAGAGTGAGGAGTGGCTGCCACTGAGGCTGGCACAATCTCTGCCCAGCTCCTGCAGAGTTTTGATCCCTCACCCAGCAGATCCAGGCTCTCTGCCCATTTCCTGGGAGAAATAAAACCTAATTTCTGGTTTTGTTGTCACCTAAATACTGTTCTTCAGGCACAGCAGCTCAGCCCAGATCCTTCCATGCACTCCCAGACAGCCAAAGGCTGATCAAACCAGCATGGAGATCTTTATTTAACATCCTACACTGCAAAAAAAATCCTTGCAAGAAAACAATTCCCAAGGAATTACTGCTGCCAGTGGAGGGGAACTTACTGGTGATCCTCACAGCACGGTCATTCCTGAAATCTTCTGTGTCTGGTTCATCCAGATCTTCCAGGAAATTGTACTCAGGGTCATCATCATCATCAGCTTCATCTGCAAAGGAGCAGCTTTTGAAGAGGTTCTGTCAGCACCCTGCCCCAGCAGCAGGGCAGGAGCAGAAGTTTGTTCAGTGCCACAAACAGGGCTGGAATTGCAGCTGGAAATTAACTGTATTTATGGAAGCAACAACAAACCCTTCCTCCTCTCACACCGAGCTGCCAGGACCCTGAGCTGCAGCCATTCCCATGCTGAAAAGCTGCTTTGAGCCTCTGGGACCTGAGTTTCTGCTGAATTTAGGAAGAGTCCACTGGTGGCATTTCAGTTTCTGGTTTATATTCAATTTGCACCACTGTAAGCAACCAGGAAATACAGGAAAAAAAAAAAGAAAATAAAAAGGAGGCCAGGCCCCAGAGCTTGTTCCTGTTTCTCTTCAAAAATAAAATAACTGCTTCTACTCCAAAAAAACCCCAAGAAGTGAATGTGGCCCAAACAAGGAGTACAACACACTGGGACTCGGGTGCATCAGGGGTTAAATCCACCACTCCCCTTGGTGGGTGCCAGTTCTTGTCACATTTACAGGATATTGCATAAATATTTACAAGTGAGACACCTGAAGTTTAAACAAAGGGGAAGATGAGAAAAGCTGATTGCAGGACTCATGCACAGGATTTAAAAATTAATGGTTGCAGACAAAAATATCATGTATAAATTAAAAAACCCCAAAATTTCATATTTACAGGGTATCACATAAATATTTACAAGTGAGACACCTGAAGTTGAAACAAAAGGGAAGATGAGAGAAGCTGATTGCAGGATTCATGCATGGGATTAAAAACTGAATGGCTGCAGACAAAAATATCATGTATAAATTTAAAAAAAGCTTCATATTTACAGGATATTGCATAAATATTTACAAGTGTACAGGATATTACATAAATATTTACAAGTGAGACACCTGAAGTTGAAACAAAGGGGAAGATGAGAGAAGCTGATTGCAGGACTCATGCATGGGATTAAAAAATTAATGTTTGCAGACAAAAATATTGTGTATTAATTTAAAAAATCCAAAATTTCACATTTACAGGATATTACATAAATATTTTCAAGTGAGATACCTGAAGTTTAAACAAAGGGGAAGATGAGGAAAACTGATTGCAAGACTAATGCACAGGATTAAAAAATTAATGGCTGCAGACCAAAATATAATGTATAAATAAAAAACCAAAGTTTCAGGCTTTCAGCAAACAATCAGGGAATGGTTTGGGTGGGAAGGAACTTGGAACACAAGTCCTGCTGACAGTACAGGGATAAAATGTTTCTAAAATCATGGTATATTTGGGGAGTTAGAAAGAAATTTAGGCTTAGTAGGCCCTGGGAATTGTTAGGGCTTGGGTTTGCCAGATCATGTGAAACTGCATCTGTGTAACCAGAATATGATAAATTATTTAATTGTTAGATGGGATGATTGCTTAGTAATTAGATGTAATTATTGTTTAATCATAAGAAGAATCATAAGAAATTATTTTCAAGGGTTTTGAGGAGGATCATGAGAAATCCATCCTTGAACGAAATCAACAGAACAATGTAAATTTAATAATTAATTAATAATAATAAATAGTAATTAAAATTAAAGAACAACTGAGGCAGCTGGGGGTGTTTAGCCTGGAGAAAAGGAGACTCAGGGGTGACCTTATCACTTTCTTGAACATCTTGAAAAATGGTTACAGTCAGTTTGGGTTGGTCTCTTTCCCCAGACAAATGAGAGGACACAGCCTTAAGCTAAAAAAGGGAAAATCAGGCTGGATATTAAGAGAAAGTTTTTAATGGAAAGAGTGATAAAATTCTAGAATTGTCTGCCCAAGGGGGTGGTGGTCTTGTTTAAAATAAGGAAAACTTAGGTTGGATATCAGGAGAAAGTTCTTTTACAGAAAGGGTGGTGGTCAGGTGGGGCTGGTCTCTTTCTCCAGACAGAAAGAGAGCACACAGCCTTAAGCTACACCAAGGGAAATTTAGGTTGGACATCAGGAGAAAATTCCAGAATTTTCTTTCCATTAAAAACTATCTGCCCGGGAGGTGCTGCTCTTGTTTAAACTAAGGGAAATTTAGTTTGGATATTAGGAGAAAGTTCCAGAATTTTCTTTCCATTAAAACTTTCTCTTAATATCCAACCTAAATTTTCCTTTTTTAGCTTAAGGCTGTGTCCTCTTCATTCTGTCACTTCTTGGAGAAAGAGACCAACCCCACCTGACCACCACCCTTTCCATTAAAAACTTTCTCCTGATATCCAACCTAAATTTCCCTTGGTTTAAATACGACCACCACCTCCCTGGGCAGATAGTTTTTTACAGAAAGGGTGGTGGTCAGGTGGGGTTGGTCTCTTTCTCCAAGAAGTGACAGAATGAAGAGGACACAGCCTTAAGCTAAAAAAGGAAAATTTAGGTTGGATATTAAGAGAAAGTTTTAATAGAAAGAAAATTCTGGAACTTTCTCCTAATATCCAAACTAAATTTCCCTTGGTTTAAACAAGAGCAGCACCTCCCGGGGCAGATAGTTTTTAATGGAAAGAAAATTCTGGAATTTTCTCCTGATGTCCAACCTAAATTTCCCTTTTTTAGCTTAAGGCTGTGT